ACTAATCACCTTGTCTGGTAGGCTGAGTGTTTTGAGTTGTTCTCCTGCAGCGTTGCTAACGTAAGCTGAGACAAAAGTTTCCGAATCCGGTGGTTTTTCACCCGGCTCCCGTCATGGATTGTCCGTGTCCACCACTGTAACATCCATCTTGCTCTCAGCACTGGATTGACTTGATTGGGAATTTAACGAGTCATCTGACTTTTCGAAATCGTTAATTAATTGCTTTACAGAATCACTGTCGTTCTGACTATCGTGGTACTCTAGGGATGAATCAGAGGATGCTACCGACGGTTTTCGCGGGTTTTCCCCTTCTTCTATTATGATTGTTGCCGGCTGTACCGCCTCAGCAACACCTTGGCGGTCACCTGAAGGTCGTTCCGCCGTTTTTTTTGGCCAGGGGGGCCTCCTGTTCGGTGCAGATGACCCCGGTGTTATTTTTAGTTAGTGAAGATGCAGAGATTTGTTCAGTACTTACATTTATTTGTTCAAGTTGTGCTTTGAGCTTTGTTTTGGAAGGTTTGGGTGACTTATAAATTGTATGAGTAGATATTTTCTTTATGGCATCAGCTTTGATCAGTTTTGCTTTGAGGCGTTTGGAATATTGAGTTTGAAAACCCCCTGAGGGTACTTGAGGTGCCCGTCCGGGCTCGGACATTTACCGTTTCCCTAACACTGGGAAATACTTACACTGGCGCTGAGAGTTAACAATAATGTTAGAAAAATATAGTTGCTGTCAGTTGTCAACCTTATCTCTAGAAATCACGGAGATACGGAGTACACAAACGTTGCCTAGAACAGTTCTAGGTAAACATAAAAATTTGTTCCATGTAGAGGATTTCAAATGAAAAATAAAAAAATTGAACTTGCCAACAAAAATGAAAATCAGTCATTATCATCCAAAATATCATATTCGTCATCATCATCATCACTGTCATCACAATTGTTATTATGATTGGACTTATTTCGTTTATTTTATTTTCACGAGTCCATCAATCTTCTATTAGTTTCTCGCACTTGGATATACAGTTTCGCCACACTTCTGGAGTTGCAATTGAAAGTGCTTTTCGCCAAGTTTCCCGAACTGCGTCGTCACTATAACCATTAGGCCCAATATGGTTGTCATAATATTGTTTTGCTATTCCCCATATATATTCGATGGGAATAAACTGGCAATGATACGGTAGCAGACGTTAAACTTGATGACCATAACTTTCAATAATCTGATCCACAACAAAGGTTTTTGGTTTTGCGTGTATATTTGCCATGCGTAATAATTCTGATTTTAGTATATATTCAATTTTATCAACAGTCCAAGAATTTGTTGGACTTTTGTTCAATACTTCAGAATGGGAAGATGCATTATCTAAAATAATTACGCTGGGCTCACTTAAACCTGGTAGAAGTTTTTTATGCAACCATTTTACAAACATTTCTGTGTTCATATTATAGTGATAGTCACTGGATTTTGATTTAGATGAAAATATTAAATCAGCACCTTCTATAAAACCCGATTTCCCTCCTGCATGTAAAATTATGTGTCGGTTCTCTTCTCCATTGGTACGTTTGATGGACTTTACGTTATCATCTTGCCATATTCTCTTGGTTGCACCCCTAGAAAATATCAATGTTTCGTCTAAATATATAAAATTCGCCCCTTCTTTAAATTTAGAATATTTTCTTAGAAAGTTAATTCTCTTGTACACGACAGAACTTCTTTCACAAAGGGCCTTTTTGTTATCCTCCTTTTAAAATTTGAAACCCAAGGTATGTATCACTTGCCATAGACTTGTTCTGCCAATGTTTTTTCAAATTTTCTATTAATTCCGAGAGAATTGTATTTAAGGTCACATGTTTCTTGTTGGTCCTCATTTAATAAATGGTATCACGAATTTCAAATTTCTTTCCATCTGGAATATCTTTCGTTTTCAATGATGCGGTGATCTTCTTTCGGCAGTTCACTATTGTGATGTTGTAATACTCCTCTTAATTTGGTTTCACTAATTCCTAGAGCATCGCATACGCGTTGTTGTACAGAAATTACCGATTTTAAAGGACCGCCATTTTCTTTTTCATCCATAAAATACTTATAGCTAACACACGTCTAGGAATTTTTAAAATTTCCACTAAATTTACAATATACATACAATGTCAACACTTGCAAAGAATCAATTCAACTGCAATATTTGTAACAAATTTAGTACCTACCATAAAATTATTTTAATTTAAAAACCATTAGGGCAATTTTACCTAATTTCTTGGAAAGAGGCTTACGGGAACTGGTTGTTAATTTGCATAATTTTGTTAATCCGAAACCCGCGTAAGTATAGCGAACAGACTGTACGGCTAGCATTCGTATGTACTATGAGGCGTAAACTGGCCGTACAGCCAGTACAGTAAACGCCAAATCAGAAAAACCAGCGCAAATGCTCAAGTTCGTTTACTTAAAAATCGCCACGCTCATTCACAATTTGAACCTTGTCCTTGCTTACGGTCAGTAGCGTAACGACTAGATCATTGTTTGTTTTTTGTTTCTGTGTTTCGGTTAAAGTAACTGGTTTTATTTTTGATAATGTCTTCTATTGTGGGTAAAAAAAAGCGCACGGACTAAGTCGTGAAGTAATATACAATGTTTTAAATATTTTGACGCAACAGAAAAGGAAGGAGTTACTTTAGATGATATCAAACTTCAAACTACACAAGCAACAGGTAAACATACTCTGTAGTTTATTTGCAATTAAACTTGCTTAGTTTTTCATATTTTTTTGTATTTTACACACATATCTATGCATTTTATTTTTGATTAATATTTTATATTTAAATTTTTAAAATTTATCTTCTGTTTCTAAAAATTTTTGTTTCCGAATAAATGTAAAAAAATACTAAATTTAACATTAATGTAATATTACATTTTTACAGGTGTTTACTACCGTTAAAATAATTTTGCAGGAAGGTAACCGTCAATGAAAACAACTGAAAAAATTTAATTTTCCACACCTAGGAAAAACTTCGTCAAAAAATCAACCGCTACGAATCTCCCTGAATATCAATTGAGGGACATGAGTCTTATTCCAACGAAGAATCTGACGAAGACATATGAACATTATTTATTTGTGATTTACTGTTAACGTTGTTTGTATTTACTTATAGGCTATATAAGTGGTAAGTATTTAAAACGATTTCATTTTAATTTCTTAATAGTTTCGGCCTTTACTTGATGAAAATCCATATTATTAAAATAAGAAAAACCAAACATGATAGATTTTCACACTTTTATTTAAAGAAATAAAAATTAAAAATTGCACAATTGTTTCTAAGTAACACTTCTTTTTCAAATGTGACTCATTTACATTTCTAATATATATACAAAATAAACTAATTAGTTAAAGTAGGTACTTTAAGAGAAATATATTAATAAAATTCCAATAAGATATCATTACCGGGATTATCTCACAGAAAACTAAGAACAGGTAAAGAGATTTAATTAAGCTCAGTTATTAATATCTAATTGATCACTTAGGAGGATATTTGAATTTTTAAATCTATTTATTTCAAGTGTTTCTAAATGGTTTAATTGAATGCCTTTATTCTCAAGATGTGAAACAATTTTTGCATAAACGATTGATTTTCAGATAAAAATATTAGAATTATTTTTGGTTTTAGTATAACTATTGTAATGTTTTAAATAGGTTTTTTTTTGAAAGTACGGCCTGTTTGACCGGGTTAATATACGGTATTCGCCAAAAACAGAGAATTTCTTATAAATTAAGAGAAGTAGAATGGTTAAATATGGAGAATAGGAGATTACTTCACACACTTAGTCTTTTTCATAGAATCATTGTAACTAAAAAACCTCCATATCTTCATAGAAAAATAACCTACCGCACCGACGTACATAACATAAATATTAGAGATAAGGGATCACTGTCAATACCCTCGTTCAATACAGAATTCTTTCGTCGATCATTCGGATATCAGATCTGCCATCTTTACAATCAGTTACCTAATAACCTAATAAAATTAAATATAACCAGGTTCAAACCTTGCTTAAAACTATTTTTGTTAAATAAACAAAATTAATTACACCTCAAATACTAAAATTAAATAATTAATTAAAATTCATTTAATGTATCCTACCATTCTAGTTTTGTACTAGCTTATGCTTATTATTTATATTTGGGTTAAGTGGAAGAGCAGATTTTGTGGTGGATCCTCCTTCTCAAATCTGAACTTCGCCCTTTATTTTCAATAATAATTCTTGTATAATTGTTAAAATTATGAAAAAATTGTAAATTTATATTGGAAATAATAAAGACGATATTATTATTATTATTATTATTATATACAATTTTACTACAATTTAATTTATTTGAATAAGTATAATTTCCTGACCGTAACAGAATTTCATATAAATACCGAAAGGAAAGCGGTAGAACAGCTTTAACCTAAAGTCGGCTTACTTAAAAATATTGATTTTTTAATTGATTATAGAATTATGTACTAATAATAACACTAAGCAATATGTATGAACAAGTATCATTCATTATTTTCCATTTATTTTATGTCTTAAATTATACGCGCCCCTGGTTTACAACTTTCTAGGTAAGCTACCAATTTTATTCATCGGTAGGCCTGTTCGTAGCATTATAAATACACGTCTTTGGTTCTTTAGATTTGGCGTTTACTGTACCAACTGTTGGTCCTGGCTATGGCCGCTCTAGTGCGCCTTCGTTCCAATTAATGTAGTGGTATATATTTTTTGTGGCCTGTGAGTGGTATTGTTATACGATATCTCATTACTGGCATTTAAATGACTAATATATCTCATTCCTGATATTAAACGAATTTCAAAAGCCAAAACAGCTAGACAAATTTTAATTAAAGACAGTAATCATATTAATATAATCCCCTTCTGCAATTGTTAAATAGCAAATCTTGTTTTACTTTTTAATTACAGAGAGTAAACACATCTAACACCATCCTGAATAATTTAAATACTTTACCAACTCCTACGGGGTTATCAACGAACAAAACATTAGCCCATTGTACCCAAGTCGAATTTCTGGGTTCCAAACTCAAGTCTAATGGTCCAAGTTCAGCAAAATTTCCATATCCAGTGGAAGACGCTCCTGGTCCACCTTGCAACCAGATAATCAAAGGTTTATCCGTATATTTGTCAACTTTTGCTGTTGTATAATGGAGCCACCAAAACATGTGAGCTTTTTCCCTAACGGTCACGAAACCCCAATCCTGATCAGTGGTACCAAAACCATGTTTTGCTGTAAATTGTGAAAAATTAATAGAAGTTTCATTTATATTAAAACTTGAATTTTAAAAATACATTTATTAAAAAAGTAATCAGAATAATAGATAACAGAACAATGCAATGCTTGATAGCATCGTTAGTTCTATCAATGGGCATGGTGGTATTCTTAAATTTACATAACTTATCAAATCAATACTGTCACCTGAGAAATTTAAATGATTACAAAGTAGGAGTACTCGTTTTATAAAATAAGGTATTTAACGATCTAATTACCTATCTAAAAAAGTACCATCTATAGGGATCTATTCTGTAAAACATCCATTAAAATTTATGGACCTTTTAAAATATAATTTTAGCGGTCCGTTAATTTTTTTAACCAAATAATGCTATTCTGTTTACATAAATTTTAAAGGCCTGTTAAAAATTATTTATTTTAACGGAGTCCCTTAAAAATAAGAGGAGAACAATTGACAACATTGTATTTAAGATTTATTTGAAATAATTTTGATGGATTAGAAGAATAAGTTTGAAAACATAAACATGTTATGTTATGTTATGTTATGTTATATTATATTATGTTATGTTATGTTATGTTATGTTATGTTATGTTATGTTATGTTATGTTATGTTATGTTATGTTATGTTATGTTATGTTATGTTATGTTATGTTATGTTATGTTATGTTATGTTATGTTATGTTATGTTATGTTATGTTATGTTATGTTATGTTATGTTATGTTATGTTATGTTATGTTATGTTATGTTATGTTATGTTATGTTATGTTATGTTATGTTATGTTATGTTATGTTATGTTATGTTATGTTATGTTATGTTATGTTATGTTATGTTATGTTATGTTATGTTATGTTATGTTATGTTATGTTATGTTATGTTATGTTATGTTATGTTATGTTATGTTATGTTATGTTATGTTATGTTATGTTATGTTATGTTATGTTATGTTATGTTATGTTATGTTATGTTATGTTATGTTATGTTATGTTATGTTATGTTATGTTATGTTATGTTATGTTATGTTATGTTATGTTATGTTATGTTATGTTATGTTATGTTATGTTATGTTATGTTATGTTATGTTATGTTATGTTATGTTATGTTATGTTATGTTATGTTATGTTATGTTATGTTATGTTATGTTATGTTATGTTATGTTATGTTATGTTATGTTATGTTATGTTATGTTATGTTATGTTATGTTATGTTATGTTATGTTATGTTATGTTATGTTATGTTATGTTATGTTATGTTATGTTATGTTATGTTATGTTATGTTATGTTATGTTATGTTATGTTATGTTATGTTATGTTATGTTATGTTATGTTATGTTATGTTATGTTATGTTATGTTATGTTATGTTATGTTATGTTATGTTATGTTATGTTATGTTATGTTATGTTATGTTATGTTATGTTATGTTATGTTATGTTATGTTATGTTATGTTATGTTATGTTATGTTATGTTATGTTATGTTATGTTATGTTATGTTATGTTATGTTATGTTATGTTATGTTATGTTATGTTATGTTATGTTATGTTATGTTATGTTATGTTATGTTATGTTATGTTATGTTATGTTATGTTATGTTATGTTATGTTATGTTATGTTATGTTATGTTATGTTATGTTATGTTATGTTATGTTATGTTATGTTATGTTATGTTATGTTATGTTATGTTATGTTATGTTATGTTATGTTATGTTATGTTATGTTATGTTATGTTATGTTATGTTATGTTATGTTATGTTATGTTATGTTATGTTATGTTATGTTATGTTATGTTATGTTATGTTATGTTATGTTATGTTATGTTATGTTATGTTATGTTATGTTATGTTATGTTATGTTATGTTATGTTATGTTATGTTATGTTATGTTATGTTATGTTATGTTATGTTATGTTATGTTATGTTATGTTATGTTATGTTATGTTATGTTATGTTATGTTATGTTATGTTATGTTATGTTATGTTATGTTATGTTATGTTATGTTATGTTATGTTATGTTATGTTATGTTATGTTATGTTATGTTATGTTATGTTATGTTATGTTATGTTATGTTATGTTATGTTATGTTATGTTATGTTATGTTATGTTATGTTATGTTATGTTATGTTATGTTATGTTATGTTATGATAACTCTTTAATGAATTTATTTCCAATTACATCATAAAACGTTAAAAATTGAAGGTGAATTTTAATATCCCTTTAAAAATTATTATTATTTTTAGAGGTTTATTTTTAAGGAACCCGTTTAAATAATGACAAAAGTATTTTAAAGGCCGAATTGTAACAGAATAGGCAATAAAAGCGAAACGTTCACAATAGTTTTAAGTTATATTTGGTCACATGGTCACTGGTTCTAGTTTTCTAAAAAGTTTTTTTAATAATTTATATATATATATATATATATATATATATATATATATATATATATATATATATATATATATATATATATATATATATATATATATATATATATATATATATATATATATATATATATATATATATATATATTTTATTTTTTTGTAATTAAAATCACTGTTCGTTTCACTTGAGTTTTATTTTGTTCTATTTTGAAACTCATAAAAGGCTCATAAAAGTTTTGTAATAAAAGATAGTATCAATAAAATATTGTAACGTAGCACCCTGCAGTAGCCTGCAGCTGTTATAGGAAATGTGCGAATAAAAGAAAAAATATGTCACCATTCACCCTGCAGTGTGCTGCGGTCGTCATAAGTAAAAGTACGACTAAAAGAGATAGAATAATCCAGAAATGTGTGAAAATGTCATTACTTGTCAAAAAGAATTTGGACAGTTCGAGAATGTACGAGAAGGGTCAAACAAGCTATATAAGTCGATTATCCCAAAATCAGTTTTCAGTTTTATGATAGACATACGTTAAATTTATCAGTTATATAATTATTGGTAAATTTGAGTTAAAATAAATTGAAATACCAAAACCTAGTGTAACATTGGTAACAGCGGTGGGGACAACATGGAAAATATATCGACTCCAATTTGAAGCTACAGCTAAAGCCAATGACTGGGCCGAGAAAGAGATGGTGGCTTCATTGATAATGTCTCTGCGAGGTCAGGCAGCAACAGTTTTATAGTTACTTCCCCAAGAAGAACCTAGTTAATTATATCTCGTTCAAGCTTTGGAGACAATATATGGCCAGCAGCATTAATTTGCAATAGGTATTCCAAAAACAGCTAAAAGTTCGTAGTCAGAAACACAATAAAAGCCTACAAGAATTTGAGACCTATAAAAAAAGATTACTGCATTTGGCCTATCTCCAGGCGCCCAAAGACGTCTTAGAACAAATCGGCATGCAGGCGTTAATTGATGTACTACATCATGAGGAAATGCAGCAGGCTCTTTCGCTATAATACCACAAGATGTTGAGTAAAACACTGATTCCAGCCAAGGAATACGAAGCAGCAAAAAGTATATCTAGATCTTCTCGCGCAAAATTGAGAGAAATTAGATTCCAGGAAAGTAAAATGGATGCTACTAATACTACCCTCGCACAAATCTTAGAAATCCTGCAAAATATGCAGCCAAATAGCCAAAGTAAGAGCAAAAGATGCTGTAATTAAGGAAGAATCAGATACTTTCAAACAACCTGTCGAAGCAGGGCTCGTTCTATGAATAGAAAATCAAACAATCTGATGTGTCCAACACATGACTTTCCTATCTAGTTATTATAGGATTTTTCCGGTTATTTTGTACAACCTATTGCAGCACCTCTATAAATATTTAGAGGATAAACTAAATATATACATTTTCCACATACATCTAACTCGAAACATTTTTCTACAGATATTCATTGAAAACGAAAATACTGAAAAATTTAAATTTAGCACTTTTCCTTCAATTTTTCCAATACGGTCCATTTTAGAAAAATCATATAAAAAACAAAAATTATAGAGATCGATACAAATAACTTTTATTTAAACAATTTTCCTAAAAATTCGAATTTTATTACATTTTGTCAAATTTCTCGAATACGGACCATTTAAAAAAAATTGTATAAAACCAAAATTATAGATAATAATATTGTAAGTAATTTTTATCTGAACAATTTTCTTCTCCAAACATAAATAACAGATATATTCCATAAAATATAAAAACGGCCTCCCATAAAGTAACCCCCCAAATGTTCCGCCTTCGTCCAAAATCTAATAATTTCACCTCAAGCCGAAATAAAACTTAAGTTTAAAATTTAATGTTTTTTCCTTTATCCGTTTTTGAGTTTTCTTCAAAATTCGAAATTTACACATTTTCTCAAATATCTCGAATACGGTCTATTTTAAATAAATTATGTATGGGATAAAAATTATAGAGAATTAGATTACAAACAACTTTTATTTAAACAATTTTTATAAAAAAATATTATTTTTTACATTTTGTCAAATTTCTCGAATACGGACCATTTTAGGAAAATTTTGTATAGAACAAAAATTATAGATAATAATATTATAAGTAACTTTTTTTTTAAAAATTTTGTTCTCCAAACGTAAATAACGGATATATTTCATAAAATATAAAAATGACCACCAATAAAGTACCCCCCAAATGTTCCGACTCTGCCCAAAATCTAATCAGTTAATCAGTTCACCGCAGGCTAGAACAAATCTTAAGTTTAAAATTTGGTGTTTTTCTTTGTATCGGTTCATGAGTTATGGTGGATGAAGTCAAAGAAGAAATAATTACAGCAGATGTCCCCAGGAGTAGGCGGTCACCCACACCTAGCCGGTTTTCTAGCAATATCAGATAAACGAGAAAAGGTAGCCACTACGGGACAGGCATCGGATAAAACAGAGGGCCTCATAATTCACACCTTTCTAAAAAACTAATAACATCTATCAATAACCAAAAAGGCACCTTCGTCTTTGATACTGGTGCAAGTCTTTCATTCGAAGAGGGATCCTGCATCGAAAACCACGACCAACTCGAAGAAGCTTAGTTCTGAAAATAGCTACCGGCAGGTTACTCTTGTTCTAGGCGAGATATTAGTAACCGTGCAGATTGGTAATACCCTGAAAGAACACTTATTTCTGGTGGCCGATATTAGGTATACGTGCTTATGCAAAATAAGTTTATCATCGACATTTAAAACAAGATCTTGGTAGTTAGAAATTAGGAAATTGTTCTAATTTCTAAAGAGAAAGGTCCTAGTGGAAAAAGACGTAGAAATACCCCAAAATTCTGAATCGGTTGTCTTGGCGAGACTTACCGAGAAATCACACGGCTTATATGTGGGCATTCTGGAAAAAGAAAAATCTGGGAGTGATGGAATTCTGGTAGCCAGACGTCTCGTTAACGTTGATCAACTAATTCCAGTTTATCGAAGAGACCACTCAAACTAAAGAAAGGACAAGATATAGGGGTCCATACACCGAAGGAAACATATCAAGTGCGAAGACCGTTCCACGGGAAAAGCCATCACAAGTAACTCAGTTGACGCCAGGTTTGTGAAACATCTAGTTAAAAATTATGACCACCTGAAGAACTAAGAATAGTCAAAGAATTTATCAATACTAACTGTAAGATTTTCGAGATACGAAAACAAACCTACGGGGCGTACTAGTTTTTTCAGCATATAATTTATATAGGCGCTGCAAGGCCAATACGACAAGCACCTAGAAGGCTCTCATTTGCCAAACAGAAAGAAGTAGCAAATATGATACAGGACAGGATAATTGCAAATATTTCTAAAGAAGCTTCTGGTCCCTGGTACTCACCTGTAGTCCTAGTAACTAAGAAAGACGGATCTGCTCGATTTCACCCCCTCCCCCCAAATATATGACACACTAAACACTCTATCAGATGCAAAATTATTTTCCACGCTAGACTTAAAGAGCGGATTAAAATTTGAATTACGGTCCATATTACCCAAAAACCGTCATTGAATGCCATTGTGTATTACACCACTGGATGCAGGACGAAAAGTTTTTTCAAATAATGTTATAAAATATCTAGGTTCATATTTTAAAAAATAAGTTGAGGGTGGTCTGAAGAATACGAAACGTTGGATGCAAAATATGAAAACGTTAAATCAAATAAAATTTACTATCAAATAAAAAACCTTAAAAATATTTTTTAGTAGTTCTGAAAATAAATGAACGATAACCAAAAAACCGAAAAGGTCGAATTTCCTTTTATCGAAATATCTCGAGAACCGGGCCTGCTATTTTCGATTAATTTCCTTCGCTAGATTATGCTTCGAGATACGCAACTTTTTCTCCATTTAACCGACTTTCTAACTAGTATGGTTTGGAAATTACTAATACAATCCCATTAAAAAAGTGGCCACCCTGTATACTGAACTTAAAAGAAAAATTAGAAAAGGTATACAAATTTGCTCGATAACGTTTAAAAGTTACTAGCGATAAAGCAAAAGCTAGAATCGACATGCATGTTACAGGGACACATTTTGAGACAGGCGATCCAGTATGGCTGTACATTCCCAAGCGTCGAAAAGGACTTTGTCAGAAACTGCAACGGAACTGGGAAGGCCCCTATACCGTCCCCAAAAAAATCAATGATCTGATCTACCGCATTCAGCAGTCAGCGGGAAGTAAACCCACATTGAAAAGTTGGCGCCATATCGTGGTCCAGATCCTCCCCGTTAGCTCCAACCAGGTCCCAGTAATCAAGTTATTTGGGGCGAATAACTAGAGAGAAGGAAGCAATGTTACGCAGCATCCTGCAGTATCCTGCAGCTGTTATAGAAAACGTGCGAATAAAAGCAAAAAATATGTCACCCATCACCCTACAGTGTGCTGCGGTCGTCATAAATAAAAGTACGAGTAAAAGAAGAAAGAATAGTCTAGAAATGTCTGAAAATGTCATTGCTTGTCAAAATGAATTTAGACAGTTTAAAAATGTTCAAGAAGAGTCAAGCAAGCTAAATAAGTCGATAACGTCAATTTTCAGTTTTATGATAGACGTTATACGTTAATGTTATTAGTTGTATAATTATTGTTAAAGTTGAGTTGAAATAAATTGAGATACCAAAAACCAGTATAACAATAATATTAATAATTTTCATGTTCCGCATAAAGAACGCTACCTGTAGGAATCTTGAGGTATTTGAGGCACCAACAATTTGATTATAAAAATATTCATAGTACTTGGTAAAAATGTTAAGTATAGATATATAAAGGGTTCAAATTTATTTATTTTACCTTTTTTATTTAGCTTATTTTTTTTATTTATTTTTTTTTAATTATTCTTATTTACTTATTTTTTATTTTATGAAAAGTGTGCATCATGGCGACATTAAACAAAATTAACTTTTTTGATTTAAAAGTCTATAGTTTCCTATTTTAAAACCGGAAATGCTAAAAAGTGATAAAAAAATATAGGGAAAATATCACTTCCCCTAAACCTAACGAGATGCTTACGATCGCAATGAAAAACTTGTTCCAGTTGATTTTAATTGGCAATAAAACAACTAGTATCATACCAAGTTTAACCTTTTAATGGATCATTTCTAGAAAATAAAGAAAACAAAACAGATTTTTTTATTTCACTTCAATGACCTCTAGGAAAAACAAATCAAGTTGGTATACAAGTAAATTTGCTTAAATCAACTTATTTTAAACCCATTAATCTGTAGTAGGTCCTCCATTTACCCGCAATTTACTTAAAAAAATAGTTTACCGTCAATATTTTAACTTACCCAAAGCAACTTGGAAAAAAATTATTGAGAAATACAAGCAACACCACATTTTTACGGCTAATAGACAATGCCAATTGAAAACCAGGCTATTTATTAATAATTTGAATTTACAAAAAATACAGAACAATCGAAAAAAAAGATAAAATATCCGTTATATCTTTAATAACAAATATTGGAATGTTATAATTTGATTAATCTTATCTATATTTCAATTTTTTCGATCTATAGGACACTTGTCGAGAGAAGCTGATTAAAGAAAGGTACAATTTGTAAACTGATGCAAAAAATTTAGCCTCTTGAGCAACGATTTTTAAAAGATGGGATTGGAAACGCGATTAGCCCGCCATTTTAGTGTATTTTAGGTGGTCAAAACAGAGGTTTACAATTACTTACAGAACTTATCTTTCACTGGATGGATTTAAGTGAAACTTTGGCAGCTTGTAATAAAATGTATAATAATTATTAAATCCTATTAAAAAATATAAAAAAGAGTGATAGTCACATATATAGTTTAAATAACTATACAGCATTCTAAATATTTTTTTGAATATTACTACCAAATTTTAATAATAGGTAATCAATGTTTTTAAAGTGTGCACAAAATACAATTTCATGTAAAATTGATAATTTTGCTGTGTCCATATCTGTATACAGATAAGGAAAGTATAAAAATCATGATTTTTTCGACCTCCAGTTTTCGACGGATTTTTACGTTTTGGGGTCCCCTAAATCCGTCTGTCTGTCTGTGTGTGTGTGTGTGTGTGTGTGTGTGTGTGTGTGTGTGTGTGTGTGTGTGTGTGTGTGTGTGTGTGTGTGTGTGTGTGTGTGTGTGTGTGTGTGTGTGTGTGTGTGTGTGTGTGTGTGTGTGTGTGTGTGTGTGTGTGTGTGTGTGTGTGTGTGTGTGTGTGTGTGTGTGTGTGTGTGTGTGTGTGTGTGTGTGTGTGTGTGTGTGTGTGTGTGTGTGTGTGTGTGTGTGTGTGTGTGTGTGTGTGTGTGTGTGTGTGTGTGTGTGTGTGTGTGTGTGTGTGTGTGTGTGTGTGTGTGTGTGTGTGTGTGTGTGTGTGTGTGTGTGTGTGTGTGTGTGTGTGTGTGTGTGTGTGTGTGTGTGTGTGTGTGTGTGTGTGTGTGTGTGTGTGTGTGTGTGTGTGTGTGTGTGTGTGTGTGTGTGTGTGTGTGTGTGTGTGTGTGTGTGTGTGTGTGTGTGTGTGTGTGTGTGTGTGTGTGTGTGTGTGTGTGTGTGTGTGTGTGTGTGTGTGTGTGTGTGTGTGTGTGTGTGTGTGTGTGTGTGTGTGTGTGTGTGTGTGTGTGTGTGTGTGTGTGTGTGTGTGTGTGTGTGTGTGTGTGTGTGTGTGTGTGTGTGTGTGTGTGTGTGTGTGTGTGTGTGTGTGTGTGTGTGTGTGTGTGTGTGTGTGTGTGTGTGTGTGTGTGTGTGTGTGTGTGTGTGTGTGTGTGTGTGTGTGTGTGTGTGTGTGTGTGTGTGTGTGTGTGTGTGTGTGTGTGTGTGTGTGTGTGTGTGTGTGTGTGTGTGTGTGTGTGTGTGTGTGTGTGTGTGTGTGTGTGTGTGTGTGTGTGTGTGTGTGTGTGTGTGTGTGTGTGTGTGTGTGTGTGTGTGTGTGTGTGTGTGTGTGTGTGTGTGTGTGTGTGTGTGTGTGTGTGTGTGTGTGTGTGTGTGTGTGTGTGTGTGTGTGTGTGTGTGTGTGTGTGTGTGTGTGTGTGTGTGTGTGTGTGTGTGTGTGTGTGTGTGTGTGTGTGTGTGTGTGTGTGTGTGTGTGTGTGTGTGTGTGTGTGTGTGTGTGTGTGTGTGTGTGTGTGTGTGTGTGTGTGTGTGTGTGTGTGTGTGTGTGTGTGTGTGTGTGTGTGTGTGTGTGTGTGTGTGTGTGTGTGTGTGTGTGTGTGTGTGTGTGTGTGTGTGTGTGTGTGTGTGTGTGTGTGTGTGTGTGTGTGTGTGTGTGTGTGTGTGTGTGTGTGTGTGTGTGTGTGTGTGTGTGTGTGTGTGTGTGTGTGTGTGTGTGTGTGTGTGTGTGTGTGTGTGTGTGTGTGTGTGTGTGTGTGTGTGTGTGTGTGTGTGTGTGTGTGTGTGTGTGTGTGTGTGTGTGTGTGTGTGTGTGTGTGTGTGTGTGTGTGTGTGTGTGTGTGTGTGTGTGTGTGTGTGTGTGTGTGTGTGTGTGTGTGTGTGTGTGTGTGTGTGTGTGTGTGTGTGTGTGTGTGTGTGTGTGTGTGTGTGTGTGTGTGTGTGTGTGTGTGTGTGTGTGTGTGTGTGTGTGTGTATCCACCATAACTCATAAACCGATACAAAGAAAAACACCAAATTTTAATCATAAGCTTTATTCCGGCGTCCAATAAACAGATTAGATTTTGGGAAGAGTCGGAACATTTGGGGGTACTTAAGTGATCATTTTTAGATTTTATGGAATATATCTGTTATTTACGTTTGGAGGAGAAAATTCTTCAAATAAAAGTTACTTACAATATTATTATCTATACAAAATTTTCCTAAAATGGTCCGTATTCGAGAGATTTGACAAAATGTAAAAAAATGATTTTTTATAAAAATTGTTTGTAATATAATTTTCTGAAATTTTTATCTTATACATAATTTCCCTAAAATGGACCGTATTCGAGATATTTGAGAAAATGTGTAAATTTCGAATTTTGAAGAAAACTCAAAAACGGATAAAGAAAAATCATTAAATTTTAAACTTTAGTTTTATTTCGGCCTGACGTGAAATTATTAGATTTTGGACAAAGTCGGAACATCTGGGGGGTACTTTATGAAAGGCAGTTTTTATATTTTATGGAATATATCTATTATTTATGTTTGGAGAAGAAAATTGTTTAAATAAAAGTTACTTCTAATATTATTATCTATAAATTTTGTTTTATGTCAAATTTTCCTGAAATGGCCCGTATTCGAGAAATTTCACAAAATGTACAAAATTCTGATTTTTAAGAAAATTGTTGAACTAAAAGTTTTTTTGCGATATCGATCTCTATAATTTTTGTTTATACATGATTTTTTTAAACTGGACTATAATGGAAAAATTGGAGGAAAAGTTCTAAATTTAAATTTTTCAGTATTTTCGTTTTCAATGAATATCTCAATGAATGAATATGTTTCGAGGTAGATGTATGTGGAAAATGTATATATTTAGTTTATCCTCTAAACATTTATAGAGGTGCTGCAATAGGTTGTACAAAATAACTAGATAGGAAAGTCATGTATTGACATATCAGATTTTTTACTGTTTTCTTAATAAGACGAATTTTTAATATTTGGTGCTTTGTTTAAAATCAAATACTAAATTAAATAAAATTTAAAATAAATGCCTTTATAAGAGGGAAATTAAATCTATCTATCTAGTTATTATAGGCTTTTTTCGGTTTTTTAGTACAACCTATTGTAGCACCTCTATAAATGTTAAGAGGGTAAACTAAATATATACATTTTCCACATACATCTAACTCGAAACATTTTTCTATAGATATTCATTGAAAACAAAAATACAGAAAAATTTGAATTTAGCACTTTTCCTCCAATTTTTCCATTATGGTCCATTTTAGAAATATCATGTAAAAACAAAAATTATAGAAATCGATATCGCAAACAACTTTTAGTTTAACAATTTTCTTAAAAATCAGAATTTTGCACATTTTGTCAAATTTCTCGAATACGGACGATTTCAGGAAAATTTGACATAAAACAAAAATTATACATAATAATATTAGAAGTAACTTTTATTTAAACAATTTTGTTCTCCAAACATAAATAACAGATATATTCCATAAAATATAAAAACGGCCTCCCGTAAAGTACCCCCTCAAGATGTTGCAACTTTGTCCAAAATCTAATTATTTCACGTCAGGCCAAATTAAAATTTAATGTTTTTTCCTTTATCCGTTTTTGAGTTTTCTTCAAAATTCGAAATTTGCACATTTTCTCAAATATCTCGAATAGAGAAATTATGTATAGAATAAAAAAAATAAAAAAATATTTTTTTACATTTTGTCTTTCTCGAATACGGACCATTTTAGGAAAATTTTGTATAAAACAAGAAATATTGAAAATAATATTGTAAGTAACTTTTATTTAAAGAATTTTCTTCTCCAAACGTAAATAACAGATATATTCCATAAAATAGAAAAATGACCGGTCATAAAGTACCCCCCAGATGTTCCTAAAATCTAATCAGTTCATTGGACGCCATAACAAAGTTTAGGTTTGAAATTTGGTATTTTTATTTGTATCGGTTCATTATGGTAGACACACACACACACACACACACACACACACACACACACACACACACACACACACACACACACACAGAGAGAGACAAAACGGATTCGGGGGACCTCAAATCGTAAAAATCCGTCAAAAACTCGAGGTCGAAAAAAATCATGATTCCTATACTTTCCTTATATCTGTATACAGATAGGAAAGTAAAAAGGAGAAGAGAAAGGTTATAAAAAAAACGAATAAAATAAAAGCAACCCAATCACTTTTATTTATTTTTTTTTTATTAAAATTTATATTTGTGAGTCGTTTAATGCAAAGCGTTTTTGCTTTTAAACTTCAAAATTATTAGTGACATCCATCAAAATGTAATACATAGCTGAAGGGTTGTCAAGTGGAACCTAAAAAAATTAAGAAATAAATGATGTGCACACAAGAAAATAAAAAAATATAAATTAATTTTGAGCAATCTGTTCCAGATGGACAAAGAATGGAAAAGACGTCATAAAAAGAATATTGGGTTACTATTTATATTATGTTCCTAATTAAAAATATATATATTATACTACCATTATATATTGCCTTATATGACACACATTTTAAATTTTCCACAACTTTGGAAAGCTTCTAAAATTATTCCTTTGCCCAAAAAAAAAAATATATAAACAGTATCAAAAATTATTATATTTCAAATTAATTTATATATAAATAAATATAAAATTTTACCATCACATGTCAGGATTCCGCCGGTGTTACAGCTGCAATACGGCTTTGCTAGATATTACTGGTGATATATTTAGATACATTGGTCATGGAAAGAGAGAGAGAGAATATATGTTTATTGTCCAAGTTAAAATACTTATTGACAAACACAATATTGTACAAATTACAAATAAATAAATAGTCATACAAACACAATATTGTACAAATAGTATACAAATTACAAATAAATAAATAGTCATTAAAATATAAACAAACATTATTATAAATTAACTTTAATACATACATCTAAAATAAAATAAAACAAAACAAAATAAAACGCATATCACAATGTCTCGTCATTATAAAATTCTATAATATTATAATAAGGTCTAGTTAACAGAAATCTCTTGAGCACCTTTCTAAAACAATTCTGTGAGTCAACATCTTTTAACGTATGTGAGAGCCTATTGTACATTTTGATACCATTGTATATAAAAGAATCTCTTATTAGTTCAGTTTTGGGAATAGGCAACTTCAAGTTACCCGTTTGGCGAGTTACACGGGATGTATTCGATTTATATTTCGACTTGTTCTTATGGATCATGCAACAAGTTTCTAATAGTGCTGTACATCAGATCCGGATTTTTTTTTAATCCGGATCTGATCCGGATCTGATCCGAATTTTCCTACGTGAACAATCCGGATCCGGATCTATCCGAATGCGACAACCGGATCCAAGATACGGATCCGAGATCCGGATCCGAGATCCGGATCCGAGATCCGGATCCGAGATCCGGATCCGAGATCCGGATCCGAGATCCGGATTCAAGAACCGAATACGCGAACCTTTTATATACTGTTGCCTATTTAGTTTCTTTTTAGAAACATGAATACTTTCCCTTTCTTCGCAGATTAACCAATCAAGACCAAGAAGAAAGAACCGTAGAAAGCTCAATTGTATTGGATTTCCTTTTCCCAAAACCGTTAGGTACTAAGGAGTTGAATGAAGTTGAAAAATATATTAAAGAACAAGATTTCGACAAAAATAGATGAAGAATAGATTTCCATTAAAATGGTAAGAAGCAAATGAAAAAAAATCTTAAAATTATCAAATATATCGAAAAAATTCCTCTGTATTCCTGCAACCTTCACACCTTCTGAGAAGGTGTTTTGTGTTTGCTACAGCAGGAAATATTGTTCGGGCAAAGAGAAGTTGCCTCTCGTTTAAAAATATAGACATACTAGTATTTCTATATGAAAATAAGAATGTATAGTATCTGCGACAACTCAAAATGTATTTATTTGTTTTATATGCTTTAATAAAAATTAAAATATATCTTTTTGCAAATTATACCTCTTTTGTATGCCTATAACTTATACATTATCATACTTGTAGCTATCTATTAGCTATTGTCTCTTCCCATTTATCCGAAAGTAGATTCGGATCTTAAATAAGAGTCAGAGAATTCGGATTTGAGATCCGGATCTGAGAACCAAATTTGAAATCCGGATCTGAGATCCGAAATCCGAATCCGGTTCCTATATTTAAATCCGGTGACGGATACATCCGGATCCGGTTTTTTTCTTCATGGATCCACGGTCCGTTAAAAATTCGGACCCGTTCACCACTAGTTTCTAAGATAAATAAAGATGTTAATGTTAATATTTCTTGTTTTAAGAACAGCGGTCTGCATAAAACTAACCACAACACTGGTTTTAAGAAAAGGTGGAAAAGTACCTTCAATAAAACTTTTAATTATTAAAATGGATAAAACGTCTAATGAAGAGGTAGGTAAGTTTTGAAATATTTTTACTGACATTTCATCATGTCCCGATACAGTTTCGTTGTGTATGTCATTACAAACTTTTAATATTTCTAAGGAATTTGTTTGTCTTAAGAAAAATGAATATTTAATTGGTGACGATTTTACAAATTCTAATGGGTCAGTTGTTCTATTTAGATTTTTTGTTAGATTTTCAGCGATATTGCAATAAAATGTATTGGAATCGTTAGGATTTATATTTGCATTGCATGATTTATGGGTACTTTTGCCTCTCAATTCATTAATAATAGACCAAGTTTCATTTGCCTTATTTTTTGAGCTCTCGATTCTTGTATGATAGTACATATCTTTAGCTTTTCTAATAAGTATTCGATATAAAGATCTGTAGAGATAATAATAGTTTAAAAATAAATTATTTTGCGTAAATTTTTTTATATAGTTGAGAGATCTCATATTTTTTGATGAACATCTTAAACCAGCTGTAATCCACGGCTTTTTTGGATTAATTTTTATTTTTTGAATAGGGAAAGATGCATTCAAAAATTTGCCTAAATTTAAATAAAAATCTTTAAAAGGAGATATACCACTAAAGCAACTGTACCATTTAAAATTTTTACATACTAAATGAAATTTTCCATAATTAGATTTACTAAACAATCGACCATGACGAGAATTAGTCTTAGGAAGCTTATGCTCAAGAGATATCGAAGCTAAAACGGCTTCATGATCAGATAGACCGCTGGGATTCACTGTACACGATATATTAGCAGGTTCGTAAGACGTACAGAAATAATCAAGTAACGTTTCGGTACATTCCGTTATCCTTGTTGCTTCCCTAACATGCATACTTAAGTTAAAGGAAATTAATAAATTTTTTAATCTAATAGTAATATTATTTTAGATGTTGTAGAAAATCTACTTAGCAAAGATTCCAAATTGTTTAAAAAAACTGAAACATTTGAATTTGGTGATCTATAGATACAAACAACATAAATATTAAATTTAAGAATAGAAATAATGGAAAACTCAAATTGTTTTTCCTCTAAAAGTTCAGGATATTCTACAATCTTAAATTCCAAAGTATGAAATATGGAATCATGTTTTAAGATTGCTGTACCCCCGTGTTCATACAGTTCTTTGCAAAAATAGTTATTAAGTTATAATTTGGAATAAACAAATGTTCATCTTTTTCAAGCCAATGTTCCATTAATAATAAAATGTGAGGGAAAAAGTAATCTTCTATTAATAAAAATAAATCATCAACTTTATTACGAACGGACCGAATATTTAAAAGTAAGAACGGTAAGGAGTCAACGGGATTAATGGATGGACTACATCTAAAAAAGAACTATTAGGTTCTCCTAAGTCAATAACAATAGGCTCAGTGTTTACTACATATTCAAATTCTTTGTTATTTGGTAAAATAACTTTTAAAACTAAATTTTGGTTTATTTTCGTATTCTTATGTAAAAACTTATTTACCATTTCTCTAATTGACAGTTTAATATTTGTCACATTAGGTACATATATTATGGACGTATTTCTATTTATTAAGCAAAATTGATAATTTTATTCCCAATAAAACTTTCAATTTTCTTATCATATTTGTGAACATTCTTAGAAAAAATAAAAAGATTTATTAATCTACCTAGTGCTAATAACTGAGCTAGAGCCTTACATAATAAAGTATAATTAGAAATATTCCGTGTATTAACAACTAGTATAAAGAGAAAGTCATTTTTACCATACTTCTGAGAATATTCAAAAACTGAATCTATCAAAGTTTCAAAATTTATATTAGGTTTACTAACACCTACCACTGAATATTCCGATGCATCAAGATATGAATTTAAATAATTAGATACATTTCTAGCTAATTCATCCCCTAATATTAGCACATGTTTTTGAGCTTCTATTTTCCTAGTATCACTTAATCGAGCAGTTCGAGCTGGAGTATTTTCGATTTCATAATTTTTTTCTTTACCATTTTGAATGTTTGGCCGATTATTTTCAATATTTTCCTATCTATTTTCTTGATTATTTTCGACACTCCAAAATTCCATCCCAGATTTTTGCATTAAATTAACTTCGTAACTCTTGTTTTGTGATTCTTATATTCTGATTGTATCAATCATATTTCGATTTATTTCCTTTAATTCTATTAGCGACTTTCTTTCTGTATCTCTTCCTTCTTCATGTTTTATAATTTCATTCAATAATTGATCATTTAATATTTTCATATTATTTATCTCATCCTGAAGTTTAGAGATAATGCTCATCTGATTTCTAATTTTATCAGTATAACCTTTTTCGGCTTCTTCAGCTTCGCTTCCGAAATCTAGCATGTTTTTGTTTTTAAATTTTAACAGATGTGAGTTTCTCTGTTCAATATCTTCGTTCAGTCTATTAATTTTTAATTGTATTACTTTAGCATCATGGTCATAATTAAAATCTAGTTTTTCAAATTTCTCCTCTTCATTAGCTAATTTATTGTTCAATTTTTGAATTTCTTCTTTTAGTTTGATAAATTCTAAACCTTTGTCTTCTACAATTCGTTCACATGCCTTGTAACAATAAATTTTATTTTTAGATAAAGGTATGATTTTTTTAGTTTTAATGCAACTAGGATGAAAAATGGCGAAACAACAAATACACCAATAATAATGAGCATCTTTTTTGCAGCATTTAAATTTACCTTCCATAGCTTGTAATTGAATAATTACTTATAGATGAATTCAATAAATCCAAATAAATAAATTTAAAAGTTTCCTCCGCCACTGGGTCCCATTTATACATATAAATAGGTAAATTCATATCTACACAGATAAATTGGGTTTTTATATTCTACTAATGAGATTTCGATAAGAATTATATTTACAAATTAGGTTATTATACTAATTTCTCCAAAATTAAATATGTTACTCACAATTTGAATTCATCGATAGATGCAGAATCTTTAACACTACAATCAGTCAAAATTTCAAATTTTTTGTTGCACTTTTAATCACTTAAACAGCTAAATTCTTAGGGAGTAAACGATGTATCTGGTACTTCACGGACGAACTAGTTAATGTGATGACGATAGCTTTAATTATAATAGACTACCCGAAAGTTTTTGATACTATCGATCACCAATTTTTTTTAGCTATTTTAAAGTATATAGGTTATTCAAATATTGTAATTTTTTTTAGAAGCTATCTGTGTGTCAGTTTGTCGAAACTAGTGTGGGTAGGTCGGATAATAAATCTATTTCCTGTGGAGTTCCTCAAGGATCTATTTTAGGACCAATACTGTTTTCACTGTACACATGTAGCATTCACAATGCCCTAAGTCATTGCAAATCTTACTTGTATGCAAATGATACGCAATTAAATCACTCTTTCTTTAGTTCAGAAATACAGCACGCCAATTTAATGATTAATAGTGACCTTATAAAATTGTCTATTGAATCAAAAATATATTATCTCTCAATAATTAATCCATATAAATCTATAGTTTAAGTATTTGGCAAACATAAAAGTAAAGTAAAAAATAAACTGCAAATAAAAATAGAATATAAAATTTTGACGTTTGCTAAAGTTGATAAAAAAACTTAGGTATAGAACTAAATACTGAGACTAGATTAAAAAAACATGTTACAAAGTGCATTCAAAAATCCTGTGAAAACTTAAAGATGTCATTTCCATATAGACACAATCTAAATATTTAAGTTAAAATCCTTGTTTGTGATACGTTTATACTGAGCCATTTTAATTATTGTGACGGCGTATATGGCCCTTGTATAAATAATATTGATTTTAATCGGATTCAAGGAGTACAAAAATCGTGCTTACGTTTGATTTATAGTATCAGAAAATTTTAAAGAGTAACTCTTAAACTAGATGATGCTAAATGGTTAAATATATCCTTTAGACGGAAATTATATATGGCGAGTCTCCACCATACTTGTTTAACAAAATTGTTCATAATATTATTAATATTCATTTATAATATTAACGTTTGTTCTCGTGGTTACATATCTCCACCACCTCATTGTACCAGTATGTTTCAAAGGTCTTTTTACTTTCCTATCTGTATACAGATAAAGAAAGTATAGGAATCATGATTTTTTCGACCTTGAGTTTTCGACGGATTTATACGTTTTGGGGTCCCCTGAATCCGTTTTGACTATTTTCGCGATGATGTCTGTGTGTGTGTCTCTGCATCCTCGATAACTCATGAACAGATACAAAGAAAAACACCAAATTTTAAACTTAAGCATAAGTCCGGCCTCTAGTGAAGTGATTAGATTTTGGCAGAGACGGAACATCTGGGGGGTACTTTATGGGTAGTCATTTTTATATTTAATAGAATATATCTGTTATTTACGTTTGTAGAAGATATATCTTTAAATAAAAGTTACTTACAATACTATTATCTATAATTTTTATTTTATATAAAATGTTCCTAAAATAGTCCGCATTCGAGAAATTTAACAAAATGTAAAAAAAATATTTTTTAAAATAGTATATTATGCAACGATCATGTAATGATGGTTATTAATACACGAGCATTAACCGGGATACGAAACGAGCCAAAGGCGAGTTTCGTATGGTTTATGCGAGTGTATTAATAACCATTACATGAGAGTTGCATACGCTATTTTTTCTACACCCGATAAATAATCAAGAACTATAAATATTATATTCATATTGGTATTGAACACAATAACAATAATTACTCGTGTATTTCTATAAAAAATTCTACAAAATTGTAATTAATGGTATTACTTCGGGTATTGGTATTTCCCTAGATTTTTGCGGCAAAATATTTTGTACTGTATTTTCTGCTTTCTCCGATATGTGTGGAGGAGTCTTCTATATCGCTCATATCAGACATTTTAATATTATAATTAACGAAGTTTAGTTATCTACCAAAATTTAATACGTTTTGACAACTAAAACAAATACATAGGAACCTAGGACAAACGTCAAACAGCATGCTTGATTGAAAAATTGTAGGTTTCTATTGATTAAAAATCTGTATCGTAATGAAAAATCTGTATCGTAATGAAAAATCTGTATCGTAATGAAAAATCTGTATCATAATGGGTATCATTATGAAACGGATTATGGGCATATAAGTGCATTATTATAATACGGGTGTAGAAAAAAATTTTTTTAAGTAAATGTTATATAATTATCTATAATTTTTATATTATACATAATTTCTATAAAATGAGCCGTATTCGAAATATTTGAGAAAATGTGTAAATTTGGAATTTTAAAGAAAACTCAAAAACGGATAAAGGAAAAAAAATCAAATTTTAAACTTAAGTTTTTTTCGGCCTGAGGTAAATTGATTATATTTTGGACAAAGTCGGAACATTTGAGGGTACTTTATGGGAGGCCGTTTTTATATTTTATGAAATATATCTGTTATTTATGTGTAACAAAGAAAATTCTTTAAATAAAAGTTACCTATAAAATTATTATCTATAATTTTTGTTTTTTACAAAATTTTCCTAAAATGATCCGTATTCGAGAAATTTGACAAAATGTAAAAAAAAATAATTTTTTATAAAAGTTGATCAAATAAAAGTTGTTTGTTATATAATTTTCTTTAATTTATATATTATACATAATTTATCTAAAATAGACCGTACTCGAGATATTTGAGAAAATGTGTCAATTACGAATTTTGAAGAAATCTGAAAAAAGGATAAAGGAGAAACCATTATATTTTAAAATTAGGTTTTATCTCGGCTGAGGTGAAATAATTAGATTTTGGACAATGTCGGATCATCTGGGGGGTACTTTATAAGAGTTCGTTTTTATATTTTATGGTATATATCTGTTATGTATATTTGGAGAAGAAAATTGTTCTAATAAAAATTACTTCTAATATTATTATCTATAATTTTTGATCTATGTCAAAATTTTTTGAAATGGTCCGTATTCGAGAAATTTGACAAAATGTGCAAAATTCTGATTTTTATGAAAAGTTGTTTGCCGTGGAGAACACCAGATAAAATATTCATAAAATTCGAAAATGTAATATTGTAACATAAACGTTGAGACCTATTGCTTAAATATGATTTAATCAACGCATAATATTGCAGTTTTGATGCCATCAACCTGTGATTGATGGTGTCGAGAGCCTTAGAAAAATCTAAAAGTGTAAGTACATTATCATAAGCATCAATTACAGTAGTTAGTGCTGTGGATGTGAAATAGCCTTTTCTAAAACCGCATTGGGTATTAGGAAGTATATCTGTCTCACAAATATATTCGTATATCTGTTTGTATAATACTTTTTCGAATATCTTGGATAGAGCTGGTAAGATACTTATGATTCTCAGATCAGAAAATGTTTGCGGATTAGGCTTTTTAGGTAGTGACCTGTCAATGGCAGTCCGCCAATAACTTTTTTGTATGCAACATTTATTAATGTGTGTAATGTATTTGATAATAATGGGCGTACAAAGTTTGAGCATTGAAGCCGATATATTATCAACGTCGTAGTATATTTTGTAACCAGAGTTGGAGAGTTGGAGTTCTAAACCTATTGTCATGGTTTAATACAAAACTGCGATTGTTTAAGTCGTGAATAACTTTGATATTAGCTCTGTAGTGCCTGGACAACTTTATTTTTATACTTCTCCAACTTATGGATCTTCTAGATAGTTAATTCTTTAAGCAAACAAAACTTGCGATCATTTTATCCCGGCTATAATGAGTACTCATTCATAGCAAGCTGTTAATTTAATCAGTAGGGTAGCCACGAGGGGGAAGGGGAGGGGTTTGGGAGGCAGAACCCTCCACCCATAAAGGGTCTTCGCGTCACCGTTTCCACCATCTTAATGACGCCGATCGCTATTAACTGTTTGTTTTTTACTTTTTTATACTATTATAACAATTATTTATTTTTATTTACTTATTTAATAAAAACAACCTAATCTGAAATATTTCACTTTTATTGGTCACTTTCTCTCCACTGGTTTTGAAAAAATCAATCCGCACAAAAAATATACGTCTTGTTTCTATTTACTTCCTAATTCGTTGAAAAAAGAGTGAATGGAAACTCTTTGTGAATCATTTATTTTGTTAAAATATTTGAGGCAACAAGTACAACCTTTTTCACTGAATTTACATGCTTTTTTCACAGGCTTATCCTTAGATTTCTTTGGCAGTCACTTTCGTTTCTTACTAGTTTTCCACCTCTTCTAACTGTCGACGTCGACCCATCCAAACTTCTGCAAACGCACTTCTTTTATATTTTAATCGACCTTCCATCCAAGGCTCTACTTGTACTGGGTTCCTTCAAATCCTTCGAAACATATTGACTGCCCGATTATTCAATGATATCGCTTTCAGTTTCCAAAGATATTACAACGTGTTGCAGGAAACACAATCTCAAACTGGTCAAGCGATTCTCGAAGACGGCGAATGTCATATAATAACCATACTCTGACACTACACACGTTACATTTTATTGCTAAACTCAGGTAACTCATGGAGTTGCTGACTCTTGCACTATAATGGATTACCAGATACATCCTTTCCCGAGCTAACTGAATGAAGAATAACTGGATTTACCTAATTTATGAACCAAAGGATGCGCAACATCAAATTCTATATTTTAAATACTTGAATACTTGCACGATTCTTGAGAAAATTTAAAATGTGTGTCAATTAAAGCAGGACGGTTCTCGTATAAACTAATACAGAAAATTTATTAACATTTAAGAAAAAATATCTTACCATGTGACCCGAACGATCAACCCAATAAAACGCAAAGTTTCCGTATTTTCTGACATATCCTTCATAGTATCCATCAACTGCAAATCCAGATCGACCTGCAGCATCCCATAAATCTTTATCTTTGAAATTGAGATTTTCTACCCAGTGTATTGTTCCTAAAACATTTTGTTCGCATCATGTATGTATATAGGGTGGTGAAAAAGTCTGCCAACAATGTATTTTATAAGGTGCTTTCTTTAAAAAGAATTAATGTATAATTATAAAATTATGGGGTGATAAATGGGATTGTATCAAAGACATTACAACTACGAGACCAAATTGTTTACATTTTTAGGTGGCAAATCATTATTCCCACCAGATTCTGGTTTATTGCGTCTTTGCCGGTTTTATCAATCTGTAAAAATTATTTGGTGAAATTACTTTCGAAAAATAAAATTTGATGTATCCTATAACTATAATTTTATATTATATAAATAAAAATATGTTTTTAATCAAATTATTCTTTAAAGTCTTAATATAAGCTAAATTTTTTTTTAAAAATCAATATTAATCTAAACAAATTATTAGGGTTGCAAAGAAATACGGTAACGCTGAATATCTGATTTTACGAATTTAAAACTAGTACCTATTTTTATGAATGAAATGTAGTTACCGGAACCAGCCGCAACGTTGCCAATCGGGTCTAACAGCTATTTCGTGTTTCTGACAGTTTCTGTGTGACTTATTGATTTATTCATTAATAATTATTTTTGTGATCTTTTGTGAGAAATATAAAGAAATATGGTACATGCATGTATAGTGTTCAATAAGGTAGATCATTTAAATCGAAAATTTATCCTTTTATCGGTAAGTATTTTTAGGTTAAGATATGTTGTTTTCATTTGAATCAGTGGAGTAGGGCACCCGTCTTAAGACTGTTTTGACTATACAAATTCTTGTACAAGATTTGATATAATTTCTTATAGAATTTAAATTGTATATGATCACATAATAAATTGTTTGAAAAATGATTATATAATTTAATTTTTCAGACAATTTACTGCAGGTTTGATAATATACAATTTAAATTGTACAAGAAATTGCATTAAAAACTTGTGTAGTCTTAAAACAGTTTTAAAAGTGATATTCCTTTTATAAATTAGTAAATTATTCTTATACCAATAAATAATTATTGAATAGAGGCAAAGAAAATTTAACGTAAAATGTAGAATACCTTGAAAATCATTAACCTATTGGGCACCTATACATATTTTTTAATATTCTACTTAGATTTCCGCAAGATCCTAAGAAAAGGAAACTGTAGTTTTCTCTAGGTAAAGTTCAAAATATTAATTTTTTGTTTACCTCTAAACATTATTTATTACCTATATGTATGTATACCAAGCAGCACGGAGACATGATTATAAAAGAAAATTATTTTATATTTATCGTATAAATGCTACAATAAGCACTAATTTAACATATAACTGTTGCGCAAGAGATAAATATGTCTCAGAGAGTAATATATTTTATTATTTTGTTATATAGATAATTATAAGACTACTTTTAAAACATGTTTAAAAAAGAACAATGTAATGACTTATAAATATTTATATAACACTTCTTATACTATTATTCTTGCTTAAGTGTAATATATTTTATAAGTGTTTCATAAGTTTTTTATACTTATATTCCAGATGCGTATGAAATTTTATATTTAATTATATAACTCTCTAATATAACAAATTATACTCAGCGATAATTTGATATTTATGTATACTTTTAAATAACAGCTTTATAACTGTTGCAAAAGAGGACATTTATAAATCTCTTACAAAATTAAAACATCTTAAAAAAAGATTTGATTATTTGAGCTCACTTAGTCTAACCTAACTTTTACATTTTAATTTCATAAAATGTGCAGTACGTGGAAAAACCGGAAAAGAAGCGGACACTTTCGAAAAAAAAATAAATCAAATTATGAGAGGATTTTGAGTAGCACAAGGGTACAATATATCCAAAAAGTTAATGTTGATATAATAGGACCGAGTGACTGCACTGAAGAATCAAGAAAACAGATGTTTAGATATCAATAATGACAGCAGTAGTAGTAACCCAGGTTTCTGCAATGCTCTAGAATCTAGTGATGATGAGGATAATGCTATATTGACTGAAACCAGTTAAAACTGTAAAACAAATGAACAAATCCGAGCTTGGGCTGTTTCATTTAATATGAACCACGCCGCGTTAAAAGGGCTATTTAAAATTTTTAATGAAAGAATACCCAACATTCTTCCAAAAGACTAAAGAACGTTGTTGAATACAGTTCTAGAAGTCAATTTGGTATCTTGGAGATATAAATTACGTCATTTCCAGTTATAAAACGAATGTGTCTAAAAAATAAGCATTATATAACAATTTAGAAATATAACAGCTTAATTAGACACAACTACACGATAGTTTAGTTATGTAGTTGTTTCCGAAACAACAAAACTGATTTATTGAGTGACTCCATCTTGGATACGTTTAACAAACAGTAAATATAATTTCTACCATGTTTTTATATGTAAACTATTTCAAAATTATTAATACATTTTTACACTAGTTTGTTCAGATATCAAAAATAAGCAAATACTTTGTACAATAGACACAACATTATCAATATTTACTAATTTAGGTAAATTTTTAAAACATTAAATAAATTATTAAAAAAAATTTTTAAATAACAACTAATTAAATTCAGGGCCCTGAAAATTTTCCCATAATAAGGCATATATAATGTCAGTAAAATTTCTGTGACAGAAGAAATTACTGGATAAACAGTGAAAATAATATGCATATAGTTTATTACATGAAAACTTTCGCCATTATATATTTGTTTATTCTGAGCATCATAAAAATCTGTTTTGTCTTTGTCACCACCATTTAATTTTAATTTACATAACTGTAAAACTATATTGTGTTGCATAAAATCTAAATGTTGCGAATAAATCAATTCTGTGTATTATAAAATAATTATAAGAATGTTAAACAACAATTTTATAAGTCGCTTCTAAATATTTTAATATGGTCGTAAGCCATATCTATAAAACAAATATATAATATCCATAAAACTATTATATAATAGTAGTTTTGGAAACAAACTTATTTTATAGGTATGTTGATAGTTTCAATAATACAACTTTAAAAAAATTGTTACATACAAATTTTATAACATGCTCCAGAATGTTTTATACTTACTTTTATACCCCATAATAAAACTGTTAAGATTCACATTTATTTTATAAACCTGCGCCTTTTCCGTGTTTATAAGCGTCTATAAAATGGTTTTAAAATATACAATTTTTATAACAAATTGTTATATAGTTGTTTATATAACTCTTTTGAGCATTTTTTTGCTGCTTGGGATATCTTATGTATGGGTTTTTAGTTCTGATTCAACTATTTTTGGAACACCACCTGCTGCAAAAAAATATTGCAGTAAGTAATAACACTAATAACTAAGCATACAAAAATTAAGTGAAATTTTTATTAATAAAATTAAGGTATTTAATATATTTAAAACGTTATTTTAAAGAATTTTACAGTTTTTTTTTACGATATTTTTTGTAATTATTAATTAAAAAAATATATACTTTTAGGACAGTGTTTTATTTAGATACCCCCACCTACTTAATGGTAATTTAAATTTTTAAATAATTTTGGTTAACATCATACCAGGCAAATATATATGAAAAAATCATCATAGTTATATTACTTAAAAAATATACCTACTTATTTACGTATTTTTTTAACATACTACTCTGACAATACTGGTAAGTTTAAAACTCTGTCTTTCTCTCTTCCACTCACTAACAATTTTAAAACAATAACAGACTTTTTCGTTACCCTATATGTATTGGATCAAAAAGCCAATAATAATGTAATACAGTTTTATTCATCACTCTACAATTTTATAATTTTACATTCATTCGATTTAAATAAAATACCTTTTTGTGAGACTTTTTCGCTAACCCGTATAAAATATGTTGACTTACCTGGTGTATTCACAATCAAATCTAATTGACCATTATAAACGGCAACTTTAATATCAGTTTCGTTTAAAAGTTTTTCTACTACTTCTGTAACAGGATTCAAGAAATCCAGAATGAGAGATTGGTATATGTCTTCGTTTTCGTTCACCCACTTTTGCGAAATATTTAGTGCAGATTTTACTTTATTGTTCATAATATTGTCCAAAGTATCACCATAGTTTTGTGATTTAAGTCCTAAAATACATGTTTTATTTTATTTTGATAGAGTAATAATATGCTTATTTTAATTCTAAAAATTAAATGTGGTTGCAGATTTATTTTACAGAAAACTAACTTCATTTTGTTGTATGGTGGTCGAATTCGCTTGATACGAATTATTTTTGCCTTTTAATCTAAAGCGTTCTAATTGGTTTTGTATTCTTACTTCTGTGTCATTGATTTTTAATAATCTAGATATCATTATCTTACTTTAATGGCTGGTTGTTTTTATGAGTTCGTTTTAATTTTGTTGTCTTGGTACACTTTGTTATTGACGCCAAATATAGATGTAGCAGTTTTCCAGGAAAACCTCTCTTTAAACGTTATACGTTTGTGGTTAGGCTTGCATTAAATTTTTGCAACTGGTTTGCTTGTTCCATTAAATGGTACAGAATAATGTTGCAATGGGTTTCTTAAGACTGTTCTGTGGTATACTGACAGATTGTGGAGATTGTGTGCCTCTCCTAAACTGTTTGTTCCAGATAGGACGTCATCTACATAAAAATCTTCTAGCATAATTTTTGATGCTTCATAATGTATAGATTTTTCATCCCAAACGAACTGGTTTAACGTTTTTATGGCCAAAAATGGAGCAGCTGATGTTTCATGTGTGACAGTCGTATTCTTCAATATTTTGTGATTTTATTATTATATTAGTCGGTACATCTTTTTAATATCGGCTAAAAATACAACTCGATGTGTTCTCCATCTTAAGAGTATTTGGGAAATGCCTTGTAGCTTTGGTCCAGAATATATACAGTTATTCAAGCTGATACCATTCTCTTAATTTGGTTGCCGTATTGCCTCATTCTCTGAGTACGGGTTGGGGTGGTAGTAATACTTCCTCTGTCCATACTTGTGGAATGGCATTTTCTTCATGTCCTCTAATTTTATGTACTCGTCCATGAACTGGTGGTATTATGTTTTAAATGATTATCTTTTTCCAGTTGTAACAATCTCGCAGCTTTTCTTTTCTTGGGGTCTCCCAGTCCATGGTTTGCAGTTTTAAATGGTATGGATACTGCATATTTTCCATCCGGATTGCACGTAGTGGTTTGTTTATACAAGCATTGTGAAGGACTAGCTTTTTCGATTTCCCAGATTTTGTTTTACATCTTTTCTTTTTTGGTGCATACTACCATACTTGTTATCTCTATTGTTTCACTTTTTTGGCAGCAATATGATCCGAAAGAATCCGTACCATTTCTGTAGTTTGACCAATGATATCATCGTTTGTTTTGTGGAGAGGATCCAATATCAATTTACTGTATTGTTCTGCTCCAAGTAATGAATCGATTGGACCTGTTCTATTATATGTTGGATCTGCGAATAACTTGTTATGCGAGGGTTCTGTATCAACGTGTAATGAGTATTGGGATAGCTTATGCCAACTTTTACATAACTATAAGTTGAACATTCAGGGCAAAGTTACTAGATAATCTTGGTTTGAGATATTCTTGAGTTCTCCATTTTGACCATTTGGACTGTCATCGGCTAGACCATATATTTTTGCTTCGATTTTTTCTCTTGGCAAGGCTAGAATTTGGGTAGCTTCTTTAGTAATAAAGAAAGCTTGAAGACCTTGGTCTAGGAGTACTCTTAAAAGTACCATTGTATCATCATTGGTTTGTACGTGTATCCTTTTTGTTGAGGTATAGTAGTTGAATGCGCTTGATAGGAATTTATATTTGAGCCTAAAGCGTTTAAGTTGCTTCTTGGGCCTGAGGTTAATTTTTTTTTTATTTATTCTCTGTTGTCTAGGTGCAAACTTGTATGATTATGACGTTGGCAGATGTTGCATTTGAATGACTTTTATACTTTTATTTGGCCTTTTGTATTTTTTTTTAATTGGGTGTCATCGGCATCGACTGCTAAGGTCATTAACCTCGTATTTTGAGTAGGCTTTGTTACTGTTTTCCAGCGCCACTTTAGGAACAGCACTTTTAATTAGAACCCAACAGTAAATGGTCGAGTGGGGAATAAGAAAGTGAGGTTTTAGCTGACATGTAAACCAAACTTGTCTCTCATCTAGCCGTAGACTCTGTTTCAGATGAGTTCTTTGAAAACAACGACGACAATCATTGGTGGTATATACTTATTAGATCGATATAAGACCTTCGGTTTATTTAAAATAGTGCTACACCGTTGATATTATTATAATTATCCATGATATTATTCGTACAGAAAAAAATCCTAATTGTTTGTCATAGTAGGTCATATGAGGGATGTTAATATCGTGTCTTCCCGCATTAAAACATTCTCGCTGGAAGATAAATAATTGTGCTTCTTTGGAAATTTTGTATACAACTTAAGATATTCATCATAATTTGCTACAAATCAACTCGTATATGCTTAACGTTATTTTAACTTTGTTTTTAATTATTGTTGAAGACTGACGTATGTATCATTTAGTTCTCTTCTTTATTAAAATTATTATGATATAGATGCAGTTTAAGGTACATTCATAACTAAAATATTTATTTAAAGATAATAGCTATTATTCCCACTCGACCATTCACTGTTGGGTTCTAATTAACAGTGCTGTTCCTAAAGTGGCGCTGGGAAACAGTAACAAAGCCTACACAGAACACGAGGCTAATGGCCGTAGTAGTCGACGCCGATGACACCAAATAAAAAAAAAAAAAAAAAAATAGCTATAATTGCATAGGTTAATAGTGTACACAAGATTGCCCATAACTAAAGGAATATAGAGTAAACACAAAAATATTTTTCTTTTGTAATAATTTCATAAACTTTATATAAATTATTATTAAATTTGACTGAATATTCATGTTCTGTTTCAAACAACCTGTGGATACTCTATATATAATAATGATCACCATGTATATATATACTTAAATTTTTAAAGCTGTTTTCTACAATTTAATTACCCAAGTTAAATTTCTATTTAATTGACTTACTGTTGTTTTTGGTTAATGAATAACTGGCAGTCTTTGTAAGAATATTGTATACATCAATGTTGTATGTATTACTTTCAACTAGATCCATAACACTATTCCATAAATTTGAGGCTTTATCTAAATTTTTTGTATCTATAGCAGTTTTGAGTTCGTTTGCTTTTTCCATAATGATGGCGTAGCCATCTTGATCTATTTGACCCTGTAAATTAAATGGATGTGCAATTAAACCACTAGTTTCATAAAAAATAGATATTTTTAATATTTAGAAAAACGATAATGAAAGGAAATCTTCTATGTATCTCCAGTCACAAACGATAGAGTTAAATAAAAAATAGAAAAAAAATCCCAAATAGATTATTAAAAAATAAAAGTACGTTTTAACCAACTTTGTATTTTTTTTTAATATACCACCGTTTTCTTTTAAACCCTCATACTGTATATTTTTTTGTTTATTTTTTACATAAGAATTAACTATAATTGCAACACCGCAAAAAGATTGCTGTTATAAATAGAAATACAAATATTCTTACCACGCTTAACAAATATGGAGCATACGCCAAAATCGAATCAACAGGGGAGATCCATGAATCTCCCAAACCTATGCCTTTTAAGTTAGCTTCGATTTCTCCATTCTTTTGAGCCTAAAATAAATATTAACATAAAACTAAAACAAAAAATACCGTATTGAAAGGGATGCATCTTAATGAATGCCAACTTAAATGAAACAGTAATCTTTTAAAAAACAATGGAATGTTTGTATGAAACTACAAATAGGTCTTCAAAAATTAAGAACGGAAAAGTCACAATTGGTCAATAAGGAAAGATGGGATGAAACAAGAAACTGCAGAGTTGCCAGGGAGAAGCACCTCTTGGCGACGTTGTCAACTACATTAAATCTGTAGGCTGGCTGACGAGCTAGGAGGTGCCTATCATCTTAGAAGGATGCACAATGGGCCCAATAAGGCCTAAGTGCCGTGGGGGTAACCCATCCTCCACACGTTACAGATACAGATACAGAAGACAACACTAAAGGTAAAATACAATTTTGAGGAACTTTCGGGTGCCAAACATAGGCTTAACGTAAATATTCAATCTGAAGATTCGGTCGGCCACTCTATTGCACCTCTTTTGATTATTCCCTGTCTGGAAAATCACTTATTATGTATCCAAGATTCTGAAATTATAATATACAGAGTGGTCCACCGGTAACGCCTCGGTCTGTATATCCAAAACTAAACTTTTTTTAAAAATCTGATGTGTCCAACACATGACTTTCCTATCTAGTTATTACAGGCTTTTTCCGTTTATTGTGTACAACCTATTGCAGCATCTCTATAAATGTTTAGAGGATAAACTAAATATATATACAATGTCCACATACATCTACCGCGAAACATTTTTCTATAGATATTCATTTAAAATGAAAATACTGAAACATTTAAATTTAGCACTTTTCCTACAATTTTTCCATTACGGTCCATTTAAAAAAAATCATGTATGAACAAATATTATAGAGATCGATATCGCAAACAACTTTTATTTCAACAATTTTCATAAAAATCAGAATTTTGCACATTTTGTCAAATTTCTCGAATACGAACCATTTCAGGAAATTTTTACATAAGGCAAAAATTATAGATAATAATATTAGAAGTAACTTTTATTTGAACAATTTTCTTCTCCAAACATAAATAACAGATATATTCCATAAAATATATAAACGGCCTCCCATAAAGTACCCCCCCAGATGTTCCGACTTTGTCCAAAATCTAATCATTTCACGTCAGGCCGAAATAAAACTTAGGTTTAAAATTTATTGATTTTTTCTTTATCCGTTTTTGAGTTTTCTTCAAATTTCGAAATTTACACATTTTCTCAAATATCTCGAATACGGTCCATTTTAGAGAAATTATCTATGGGACAAAAATTATAGAGAATTATATTACAAACAACTTTTGTTTAAACAATTTTTATAAAAAAAAATATTTTTTACATTTTGTCAAATTTCTCGAATACGGACCATTTTAGGAAAATTTTGTAAATGACAAAAATTATAGATAATAAAATAAGAAGTAACTTTTATTTAAAAATTTTTCTTCCCCAAACGTAAATAACAGATATATTCCATAAAATATAAAAATGACCACCTATAAAGTACCCCCCCCCAGATGTTCCGACTCTGCCCAAAATCTAATCAGCTCATTAGACGCTGGAATAAAGCTTAAGTTTGAAATTTGGTGTTTTTCCGTGTATCGGTTCATGAGTTATGCGTTATACAGACACACACACACACACACAGACACACACACAGACACACACACACAGACATCATCGCGAAAATAGTCAAAACGGATTCAGGGGACCTCAAAACGTAAAAATCCGTCGAAAACTCGAGGTCGAAAAAAATCATGATTCCTATACTTTCCTTATATCTGTATACAGATAGGAAAGTAAAAAAGCGGTTTTTACGGTGAGATGTATATTAGAAAAGGCAACAATTTAAAAATAATTTAAATAATACAGGGTGCTCCAGGAAATTGGAATATATCAAAGTTAGGTTTTTTAATCGGGACACCCTATATTTTATTGAATTTTTTAAATCTATAAATAAAATTAGTGTAACTTTGTTAAGAGGTTGTTATGCCTAGAGTCTATAATTTTTGATATATTCGAGGATTTTCAAAATTTTCAGGTGTTAAAAATTGCAAATATATCCTACATTTCTTAATATTTTAAATTTATTTTTTTAAGGTACATTAAGCGTCTTCTGGGCTGTAATCTCAAATACTTACTGATCAAAAATCTTATATAGGGTGTTTACGAAATGCTATTTATTATACGTAGATTTAAACACTAAAAAACTTCGTTATTTTAAATAAAACACCAAATATATTTTAACGTTATTTGAAGTATCTTTCGAAACCCTTTCAAACGATGTAGGTATTCCCTATACCTATCTATGATAGTTTTACTAACATTGTTACATTTTTTTTTTTGAAACACGAATTACAAAATAATACAAGATAATAAATTAAATTAATAGATGTTCAAAATGATGACCGTCTTCTTGAATACACATTGTGATCCTTCATTCAAACGAATTTCTTACTCTTTTTAGCATATCCGGCGTAATAGTTGCAAATGCATTCTTAATTCGTTCCTTTATATCTTCTGGCGTGGTTGCTGGGGTATTGTATACAAGACTTTTTATGTAACCCCATAAAAAAATTTTGGGGGTGTTAAACAGGGTGATCTAGGTGGCGAATGGCATGGGCCTCCTCTTCCTATCCATTTATTAGGAAATTTCCGGTCTAAGTAATTTCTCACGTCCCGCGCAAAATAAGAAGGAGCACCATCTAATTGTAGCCACATTTGTTTCCGTACGTTCAATGGTATATCTTCGAGAAGCAGCCAAAAATCTGAACGAAGGAACCTCAAAAAATTATTTCCATTTAGATGACTATTAAAAAAATATGGGCCTATAACTTTATCTCCAATAATCCCCCCATAAACATTTATGCTCCATCTGTTTTGTCGGTCAATAGTTCTAAATAGGTGCCGATTTTCTGTATCATAGTAATGGAAATTATTGCGATTTACTAAGCCATTGTTATGGAAAGTGGATTCGTCTGTAAATAAGACAAAATCGAAAAAGTCTCTATTTTCTCCTACATATTCTAGCGCCCATAAACTAAAATCTATGCGTCGTTGAAAATCAGTACCATATAAATGTTGATGAAATTGGATATGGTAAGTGTGGAATCGGTGTTTCTTGAGAATTCTCATTACACTGGTTCTAGGTATATCCATTTGCCTCGAAATTTCCCTGGTGTAATGTGAGGATTCTCCGTTACTGAACCTAATACTAGAAATTCGTTCTCTTCATTATCAACTACGGGTTTACTCACAGTTTGTTTTGAATATGAAACACTGCCTGTTGTACGAAAACGTTCTAAAACTCTTTCAAAAGTTCTCTTATCCGGTTGATTTCTGTCTAAATACTTTTGGGCATAAACCCGTGTTGCTTAAAAACAGTTTTCATAACACTCACCTATGGTGAGAATCATATCCCCATTTCTTGCATAGAATATTGCTTCATTTTAATAATAACTTTGCACAAAACACATAATAATACCTATTGGAAACAGTTTAAATCAAAATGACATAAATTTACAATCAATGCCCAGACACCTTGATTAACTAAATTTAATGAATTATTTACATAAATTATAAGAACTAGACTATTCTCTAAAACAACAACATATAGGTATAGGGAATACCTATGTATATTGTTTGAAAGGGTTTCGAAAGATATTTCTAATAATGTTAAAATATACTGGGTGTTCTATTTAAAATAACGAAGTTTTTGGTGTTTAAATCTACGTAAAATAAATATCTATTTCGTAAACACCCTATACGATATTTTTATCAGTAAGTATTTGAGGTTACAGCCCAGAAGACGCTTAATGAACCTTAAAAAAATTACTTTGAAATATTAAGAAATGTAGGATATATTTGCAGTTTTTAGACACCCAAAAATTTTGAAAATCCTCGAATATATCAAAAATGATAGACTCTAGGTATAACAACCCATTAACAAAGTTACACTAATTTTCTTTGTAGATTTTAAAAATGCAATAAAATATAGGGTGTCCCGATTAAAAAAACCTAACTTTGATATATTCCAATTTCCTGGAGCACCCTGTAATATTGAAATTATTTTTAAATTGTTGCCTTTTCTGATATAAATCTCACCGTAAAAACCGATTTTTAAAAAAAAAGTTTAGTTTTGGATATACAGACCGAGGCGTTACCGGTGGACCACCCTGTATATTGGCTAATTTCCTTTTTCGTAGACTCTTCTTAGGGCTGGCTGTACGATAGTACTCGTGTAGGTTTCATTTTTCCACAAACATTTTTAGGCACATCTTAGACATCTATTTTAATTAGATAAGTACAGCTGAACGTTTAAAGTAATAATAAATTTACATTACATGAGAAAAAACAAATCTTACCTGATCTATAACCAATGCTATTTCTGCAGTCATCTTACCACCGTAAGATTCGCAAAATATATACAAGGGTAGTCTTTTAAATGTTGGTAGTGTTTCATAAAACTGTTTTAGGAATACCAAAAAATCTTGAGCAATTTCAGCGTTATTATTTACCAGTTGATCGTCATCGTCGACGTAACCAAAACCTGAAATAAAATAATCGTAGAGGATATTCAGCTGCTTAAATATATCATACTCATAATTACTCAAATATGTACCATAAAATCCCGATTTTAGGGTGAGGAGTAAACGACAGAATAACAATATGTATTTTAATACGCACATCCATCCGCATTTAAACACTAAAGCAACTTCAGGGTTAAGTCAAAGCTCAAAATATTTATTTATAAGCTCAAATATAATTTGAATCACATAAGATACAGGAAACAGTGCTATTTTCCATCTCGCATGGGTAAAAAGTCTATAGATTTGCAACAGAAGGGTCACTTGCATTCACATAATAAGCTTGGTTCGTGGTAACAATCCTAAACTGAGGTAAAAATTACACTGCACATTATAACTGAATGTGTTTTGTTTAAGTACTTATGCGGGCGTATATGCTATAGCTTAGCATTTAGAATACGTTTGAGATCGGCTCAAAGCATTAAAATACCGCCACATAACTGGCAGCCGGCTTTTGAGCTTGCTTGTCTTTTCATATATTCAGACGTATGTAGTAAAAAAATCTTCTCAGTTCAATAGAAAAATAAAGTATAATACAGGGTGTAACTAATTAAGTGTAAAACATTTAAGGGGGTGATTCCTCATCAAAAAAAGATAGGATCTTTCATATAAAGAAACTTCATTGGAGCATCCCTTGTTAAGATACAGCCCCTTAAAGGGGGTACATAAAATTTGTTACAATATTGAAATTAACCTGTCATTTTCTACTACCAAAAAGACAGCCAGTTATTTATTTGGTTTACCCCATGGTTGTAAAGGGTGGAAAACGCAACCCCTAAAATTTCGTTCCAACGTAACTTTTTGTCTTATTATTTGTTTACCATTTAATTTATTTCCGATAGCCTGTCTCTTGAATTTTTTGCCCAAAATAAACCAGTTCGCAGCAAAAAAACAAGATAGATATCGCCATAAAACGAAAATATTTTTTTACTGCGAACTGGTTTATTTTGGGCAAAAAAATTCTAAAGACATTTTTTGTTTAGAACGAAATAGGCTATCGGAAATACATTTTTAAATGGTAAACAAATAATAAGACAAAAAGTTACGTTGGAACGAAATTTTAGAGGTTGCGTTTTCCACCCCTTACAAACATGAGGTAAACCAAATAAATTACTGGCTAAGTCTCTTTTTGGTAGTGGAAAATGTCAGGTTAATTTCAGTATTGTAACTTGTTTAGTGCTTGTGAAAAAAATTGTTAAACAAATTTTATGTACCCACTTTAAGCGGCTGTATCTTAACAAGGCATGCTCCATTGAAGTTTCTTTATATGAAAGATCCTATCTTTTTTTCGATGAGGAATGACCCCCTTAAATGTTTTACACTTATTTAGTTACACCCTGTATAATCACAAATTATTGTGGACAGTTTATGTTCGCAATTTACAGTAAATACAATGTATTATATGTTCCAAACCAACGTCTGATGATGATTGATCAGCCCTTCAGATACATAAATATGAATCAAGTAGTACAAAAAAACATCATATTAATAAAGATTCGATATCATTAGTTGTAAATCCCTAAAATACTCGCAGTTAAATAAAAATTTACATAAACGGAAAAAACAGTGCCAAATAAATTATTTACTTGTAAACAAATACAATTGCCATAGTTATTTTTTAGAATTTTAAAAAATATATTAAAGATAATTAAAAGTATACTTGTAAACACGTATTTTTATCACAAGTAAACAAGTTTCCTAAAATGAGGTTTTCTAATAACCTCTAGTAAAAAGTTAACTTAATTTTGGCACCAGATTGCCTGCGATAAATAAATAATGCTGCTGAAACTACTTTAATAACTGTAAAATCACATATATTTATCATTAGTTAACTTTTGCTTATGGATAAAAAACATTTTCTTTCGGCCAGCGACCGCTTCAATACAGTTAGTCCTGATCACTACCGAAACATCAGCGATCTAAGAGTCGATTACTTTGGTTTCTTATTTGCGTTAACTTTTTTTTGCATTGTCTTTCCTACCGAACGGTCACAGCTCACAGGGCAGCTTACCCAAGTAACATTTTTAGATTTATCAAAGTATACAAGGTAACCATAAAACCCTTTTTTAAAACACTGATAAAACTTTTGAATCCGCGAGATAGCCTTTGGGCTGCTATAAATCTACTTTAAGAGTAAAAGTGAGAATCCTATAACGGTTCTTAGGAGTATTTTTAAAACAATATCTTAAAACAAATTAGACTCAAAACAAAGTCCGTAAGAGTATATTAGGAATTTTATTAAACTATTTTTAAATCTTTTTTAAGACTATAATAATAAGTTGGATAAGCATAAAAACTTTACAAAACTAATCAGTTTTAGGAGAATTAAATTTTAAACTGTTTTAGCTTTATTCTGTTTTATCATACTCTTTAACAGAATGATTTTGCAAATATGTTGGAAAGGCCGCCATATTTGAAATTAATTATTATATAGCCTATGTTTAATTTGTTTAGTTACACTTGTTATTTCTTCGATTGTCAAACAAACACCAAAGTACTGTTTAAAGTGGACAAGATGGGTCGTAATAAATGATAGGCCTTATTATGAAATATACGTAAAAAAAGGATTATTATACGGATTCTAATCTATTTGCCGAAAGTTATTTAATAGAAAATAACATTGTAAATATCGTATATATAGCACTACAAAATGATTACATTTTTCTTTGATATCTTTTTCATATCACGTTTTGTATTTTTCAAATTATTTCATGGAAGTGACTATTTAACCGCCAATATAAATCCTATTGTAGATTTGTCTTTGCATGGATACTTGTCATCGTCAGAAAACCATTTTCAATTGCGCATACTACCTACTGGACTATCAGAAACAAACTTTGTGTTTAATCATAAATTACTTTAGGCGAGGCAAGAGTTGTATAACATTATATTATAGTATATTCCAATATAAGTTACATTTATATACCCTAAAAGAAAACAAGCTGTAGATATATTTTGACATTATGTGGTTAAATGCAGTAAACGCAATCATAAATAATAAATCTACTGTTATTGGAACACTGTTGTCATTGACACACTGTTGTCATTGACACACTATCGCTGTCTTTGGTACTCAAAATACGTCATTACTAAAATTGAAAATTTTTAGAATTATTTGAACTTTGACAATAATTTATTTGAATATCCTTTAGGTACAGGTCTGGTAGACAAGTACTATTTCACATGATATGTAGTTAAACAGTTACTGCCATATTTAAAATAGAGTAATTCCTTATTGTGTTGTATCTGTACCTAAAACCGGATATTAGCTTATAAAACTAATAAAGCAAAAAAAATACTTTTTAGGACTTTCCAGTTTTAAAAAGCTCCTGCTAGATTTTTTAAAGCATTTCATAAAACAATAGTAAAAGAAAAACCCCAATAAAATATTCATAAGTTCAACCAGATGGGTTGAAATGTTTGGTATTATTTTTTTGGTAATAGCATGGTCTAACCTAACCTAACCTAACCTAACCTCACTCAGAATATTAGGAGCCTAGGAATGTTTTGATATTTATTAAACAATGGAACACAGTGACCTTATTAAACACTGTGGAGAAGGAGAAACATATGCATTTTCTTTTTTCATTCTCTATGGAAATTACCACTTTTCTTTATTTTGAACAATGTATCTTCAAACGTCAACATAATGTGATTGGGTTGAAAAGTTTATGCTTTAAAACAAACTTTTCTGTTCTTATTAAAACTATGTAGTTTTAAAAGAGCCCTATCGTTTACTAGATTAAATAAATTATAAGAGTTTTGTTGAAAAATTGTAGAAAATGTACCTAAAAGGTTCTGGTATCAATTTAATTTAAAGTATAATCCTAAAACACGTTTTTAAACTAAGTTTTAAAACCTACTTAAGATAACTGCTAGAAGGTATGCCCCTTTCACACCAAACACACCTTAGGAGTATCTTCAAACTAAATAGTTCTAAAATTACTTATTACTTTACCCTTACAGGACAGCGATAAAGCATAGTTTACTTTAGGATAACATAGTTTTCTTAAACAAATTTAAAGAGGAATCTATAAAACCAAGTAATAAGATCAGTCCTTCTAGCAAAAAAATAACTGTAATAAAATAATTATTAATTAAACATAAAAATAAAACTTTAATCTCTTAAAAATGTTACTTGGGTAGGTCGATGTCATACACCTTTTTCATGGAGTGCTATGTAGTGGACAGGTTGTTTGTAATAAGTGTAGGTATAAATCAATACAAAGTATTAAATAAATGTATTATGAGTGTATTAAAAACTGTGCCATTTTAAGTATTAGAACCGGGGGGCTCGGTCTAAGACGCTTCAAATTTTGAGAAGGTTTCAAAAGGTACACAAGGCGCATATCAATTGAATAGTAAATTTTTACAAATTAAATTCATTTAAATTTTCGACCGAATGCTATCTCGGGAACCACAAAAGTAGGTACCATTATTTTGGTGTCACTTTGTTTCTCTAAGTGTCCCTAGCTTATATCTGATAAGATTTTGGCTTTCTCTATCCCGAGATCGCGGCACAAACAGACAGACATTATGCACCCCTTTACGAGTGAATTTTAACCCCAGAAACAGAGATTGCGCAGGATAAGGACGACTATTATTGTAATTACTTGTCATTATTATTATGTAAGTATCCTATATATTTTCGATATACAAATAGTGCATTTTTGACTGTGATATATTTTTAATCATTTTATAATGTACCTTTTCCCATTTTTTTTAACAGTTGATATATTATTTTAAAACATTTGAGTACTCAAATCTTTATAAATATCATTAATACAAATAAAGGTTTGTAAAATCTAATACTTTCTACATAAATCAATAATAATGATGCATAATGCTTTAAAGCATATAAAAATAATTCAAGATCATAAATACATACATACCACCCACTAAAACAAAAATCACTTATTACAAAAAACAGTTACCTAGCGGCAAATAAACTAAAACCAATTAGTAGCATAAAGTATACCTATAATAAGAAACTAATGTACACTGACCACAGGTAAATAGTTCACTAACTGTAGGTCGTCTAAAAACTAATTAAACGGTTTACTAACCACAGGTGAATAATTTCTAAAATATTGTTTAACTTTTTATAAGTAAACATTTTACCTGTCCCATATAATATACAACTTTTTATTTGCTGCAAGTAAAAGTTTGCAAACGGTTAGTAATTTTTTTTTTGTGAAGCCTATCTAAAATATTGGAATAAGAAGATAAACTATTTTAGTATGATGTAGAAAGGAGAACAACAGTCTTTCCAATTTTGGTAATATTCTGAAATTGGAAAAAATAGAAAGTAACTAAGAGGAGAAATTAAACGATTTCTATTGTCTACGTATACATAACATATTCTACTCAGCTCCACCAATCTTCGTCAAAAAAGAGAAGGAAAAAGCAATCTCCCTGATTCCATGTACAGGGATTGCAGGATTATCGAAGGCCTACGAGCAGTAAAAGGTTAAGATTATTAAGTTGTAAGTATGAGACAGGTGAAGGATAGAAGTAGTTATAAATCCCCTGGCTTAAAGTTCAGAGAAAAATAGTGTAGTATTTAATATTAAATGTTTATAATAAAACAGCGGCTCAAGACTTTTTATTTAGAAAGCTAGTGTGACCCCCGCCCCATCAAATTTAAATTTTTAAAATTTATTTTATTAAAGAAAATATATGCTAAAATTAACATTGACTTCGTTTTATAAAGGATACATTATCATTATTATTAATATTTTCAGTACATTACCATACGCGAACGCAAGTCAATTTTTATTTCTGAACAAATTTACACTAATTTTAACTCTTAGCCCAAGATAGATATTCCATTTAAAACTTTAAATGACAACAAGGATCGACAGCGAGCTTATTTAAAGGGATTTTAATTTTATAGTTAACCGTTTAAAGAAATTTAAATATGTTATATTAGTTTTTGATTTAATTAAATTAAAACAGACAAAACAAAACACTGATTTAATTATTGCAATACATTATTGTAATCTGATACGTTATCAAATACATACAATGTTTTTCATCGACGTCTCGACAGACTATCTATTCGTACACCGTCGTCAATATCGACACGGCGTTGCCGAATTCCAGTTTTTAAAAATACTAGTAAAAATTGTAAAAGGTTAACTAAATATCAAGAACGTTAAAAAAGTAATGACTATGGACCCATCAGAATTCAGATTTTTTGATAAATATAAAAAAAATACATACTAAGCGGTAGATAGTGTAAGCTAAGCCAAAAAAAAAACAACAAGAAGAAGAAAAATAAGACGAAGAAAAAGAAGAAGCAGTAGAAGAAGAAGGAGTAGAAGAAGAAGAAGAAGAAGAAGCAGAAGAAGAAGAAGAAGAAGAAGAAGAAGAAGAAGAAGAAGAAGAAGAAGAAGAAGAAGAAGAAGAAGAAGAAGAAGAAGAAGAAGAAGAAGAAGAAGAAGAAAGAAGAAGAAGAAGAAGAAGAAGAAGAAGAAGAAGAAGAAGAAGAAGAAGAAGAAGAAGAAGAAGAAGAAGAAGAAGAAGAAGAAGAAGAAGAAGAAGAAGAAGAAGAAGAAGAAGAAGAAGAAGAAGAAGAAGAAGAAGAAGAAGAAGAAGAAGAAGAAGAATAAGAAGAAGAAGAAGAATAAGAAGAAGAAGAAGAAGAAGAAGAAGAAGAAGAAGAAGAAGAAGAAGAAGAAAAATAAGATTTCTATTAATTTCTCAAATATTTTTTATCGAGTGGATTTTCACTCTCCTAGAATTAACTCTAGAAGAATTACTTCGTTTTACTCAGATATTGCGAGAACTAATATTATTCTTTCTAACTCCCTCACTTCACAGAATGTGCAAGAACTTTAATGTGGAAAACTTTTTAGTTTTTCACCGCATATTTTGGAAATCTCTGTAGATATTTTATATTTTGTAGCAGATTTTTATTGGGCAGAAAATAACTTCTCTCTGATTTAACCAACACTGTATCCCTTACCGTCTAGTAAATCTCAATGGTATACACTATAAGAGTAACCTCTTTGTACATTTTTTTTCTGTAATGTATATTTTGGCTGAGTATCGATTTTATCTATACCTTTGATGTGTTATTGTATTAAATTTTCAATTATGTATTCTAATTTACATTGCATTGCAAATGAAGATTCTCTGTTGGACAATAAAGAATTTATTATTATTAATAATATTACAGAGGAGCAATATAATTTAAGAATACAGTTTATTGTACAAGGATTGATACAATTTCTTGTACAATATCTACAACAAGAAATTTATGATTTTGAAATATATAATGTATTAATTCTAAAATATTGTGGACAACAACTATAGCAAGATTTTGTGCATTAATACCAAAATCTACTGTCACTGTCTCTGTCACTTCCAAGTACGAAACTAAACTTAAAATTTTTGGAAACGAAAAAAACCCAGCGACGAATATCTACTAGATCAATTTTTAAAAAAAAAACAATTGAAAATATTCATGGTGTTATCCACGTAGTTGCCAAATTATTATGGGAGAGACTTGTTACAAGGATTGTTTATAATTATAATTTAAAATGTACCTAATACAAGGTTTTAAAACAGCATTTCTCAACCTTTCAGTATTTGGAGGCGAATTTTCAATAACAATTTTTATGCCCTCCCCCCTACCATTTTTTCATATAATAATAGAATACGACGTATATCATACGTTGAAATTTTTGAGCCTAATCCCCTTAATGCAGCGTGTTATTAGTGTCCTAGACCATAGACTCTACGCCTAGAGCTCTAATATAGAACTCATTTATAGACCATCAAAATTACCTAGAATATTAGAATATTAGTTTTAGCATGTACTGTACTTACTTTTTAATGTCAAAATGATTTTCTCTCTGTGAATAATTTTTTTTATTAGTAATTATCGTTTTTTTTTTATTTTAAAGTGCTGGCGCCCCCCACATGTTTAGAATCGCTGCTCAAAAATACAAATTGCTTCTTTTAAAATAACATTAAAAATGTACTTTTATTGTATTTAATGTATTTCGGGTTGGAACTATTATTGTAGCTAAAAGGTGAATTACAGAAAAGTAAACCATTTATTTTACTGCGTGGCAACGGTGTTAAGCAAGAATAATAATTGTACAAACTGGTTCATTCATAAAACATAAACAAACCATCCCCCACTCAATTTGGCAGGTGTCTCGTTTTTTTAATGCGACTGCTGTATCTGCCGATCATGAAACACAATTTGAGTACTTGCCATATATAAAGCTTAATTATAAATTACAATTGATTAGCCTAGAAGTTTTTCGTCGTTGATAAAACCCATGGTGACATCCTTAAAGTCAAAAAAAAATTATTACTTATGTTTCACATACAATTTAGAACAAATTTTCTTTATATTTTTTTAATTATCAACGTTTGTAACGAAATACATCGTCTATAGGCCAATCATCCTAAACAAAGAGGACAAAAAAAATGCAAGGAAAATGATTAAGAAGATGGACAATCAATATTTTTATAAACTTCTGGATTTAATTGGGGCGACAATAAAAAGCAAATTACATACTTTTAGCAACATATAAACATTTAACAAACAAATTAATACCTGCACCAAATACTGTAAACAATTAAGGCTAATTTGATTATATGTATCTCGTTAATGTGCAGATATCTTAGTTCTCAAAAAATTAACTGTATGATATTACACGATATAATTGTACAAGAAATTGTATCATATCCAATACAAGAAATTGTGTAGTTTCAAACAGTCTTTATAAAAATAATGTAAAAGTTAAATTTTGTCTGCCATTTTTATTGGTTTTATGGTACATATTTTGAGTATTTATTTTCATTTCAGGGTTAATATTGTTTTTTTTACTTAAATAGGTATGTTAAAATACTTTACCAACTCCTGCTGGATTATCAACGAACATAACGTTTGCCCATTGGACCCACGTGGTGTTTCTGGGTTCCAAATTTAAATCAAGTGGTCCGAGTTCTGCAAAATTTCCGTATCGGTGGAGGAACCGCCTGGGCCCCCTTGTAACCAAATTATTAAAGGTCTATCTGTGTACAGGGGGACATCAGCTGTTGTATAATGTAACCACCAAAATATATTGGCCTTTTCTCGGACAGCTACGTGACCCCATTCTTGATCGGTCGGTCCAAAACCATGTTTTGCTGTAAATTCATTGATTTAGTTTTTACTTATATTACCACTTTTGCCTAAATTATTTCCAGAAAGTGTAACTAACGAATATTTTAAAATTATCCCAAGTCAAACGAGGGTAATTTTCCGCATAATAAGAATTTCACAACGAAATTTTCAAACTAGGCAGAATGGTAAATTATTAAAATTTTAAAAAATAATGGTAGCTCCATCACCAAATTTTGATCCTGTAGTATGTGCTTAAAATATACAGGGTGTTTCTAATTTCATGCGACAAAATTCAGGAGGTGATTGCCCGTATGAAATTAAGATGGCTCTTTTCTATAACAAAATTTCCTCAGCCCACCACTTTCCGAGATATCACCCTTAAAAGGTGGTGACTAAATTGAGTTTTTATTTTTTTTTTTCAAAATATCAGTAAAGCTAGAAACTTTAAATTTTGTAATTTTTGTACACTCGCAAAGAACTAACCACGGGTATTTTTTTCAATATTCCTGTTACATTATAGGGGGGTGAAATTAATTTTATTTCATAAAACTTCATCTCGAAAAAAAGTTTTGATATGAAATAAAGTAAGGGTGGCTAATTTCAGCCCCCCATTATAGGAATATTTAAAAATACCCGTGGTTAGTCCTTTGCTAGTGCACGAAAATTACAGAATTTCAAGTTTACAGCTTTACTGAAATTTTAGAATAAAAAATAAAAACTCAATTTTAGTCACCACCTTTTAAGGGTGATATATCAGAAAGGACTAAGGCTCATCTTAATTTCATACGAGCAATCATCTCCTAAATTTTTTCGCATGAATTTAGAAACACCCTGTATGTATAATATCCGTGTGGGTATAGAATATTTGGTTAGCGATCTACTAAACGTTTGGTGGATTTAATAATAATAATAATACTCTCTCTAATTCATCCCCTTTAAGTAAATTTTAACCCCAAAATCTGTACTTGTCCGGTGAAGGTACGGCTATTATTATTATTTGTCGTGGCGCTTCGAGGCGACTTAAAGATGATTGATGATACCATTTGCCATATATCATCATCGAAACGGTAACGCTTGGCGATTTTTATAATCTGGATGTCATACCAACAGATATTTCTGCTAATACTGCATCCATCAAATCCTATAGAGAACCATGCAAATAAATTTACATGGTCTTCTATAGGATTCAAGTCGGGTGTGTATCTGAACCACAAAATTGCTCGCAAGTGAATGCGAGTGCGTTAGACACCTACGTCACAGATCCAATACACATTATACACATTATAAAATAGATATAACGTTTTATTCGTTTAATAGACTGATATGTAGTTACATATTATATATACCGTAATTTCTGTAAAAAAATAAGTATAAATATATTTTTTGTGGCAATTCTGTCTAGCAATTTTTAAGATATTGAGGTTCAATATAGGTAAAAATGTGTTATTTTAGTGTAGAATCAATAAATAAGAGCATTTATTTTTATTTTGTCCGCATTTACAAATAAATCCTAATTTTTAATCAAACTACCTATATAAAACTAATTTAATTACGAGTATTAAAACTAACATCGTAAGTGTGGCGATGGAGGTGAGGACACGGGGCTTGTCTTCCACGCGAGAGCTCCAGGTTTAAATCTGAACTGAGGACTTTTTTTATGTTCATTTTATTTTTTAAATCAGTAAAAGTCATAAATTATTTATTTTTTCTTAAAAACCTAAAATTATTTTTTAAATTTGTATATTTTCGTTAGTGGATCATAGAAAAAATATACTGTACACCTCGAGTGGATTGTCCATATCCAATCTTGTTGTACAAACTATTAAACTTGTTCGACTTTGGATTTCGCATCATTATTATACCGTCTCGCAAACAAATGCATCTAGCAAATGTGGTTTGTGGATAAGGCGTTGAATTTTCAAACCAGAATTCGTGTAGATTCAGTCTCGGTGTAATCATTTTTTGTTTTATTTTTTTTTATACATACTGTTTAATTTTATTAGAGTAATATTGAGATTTATATTTTATACGTTTGTCTTAGTTTTATATTCACATTTGTCTTATGTATAAAATCATGAATAAGGGATTTAATTTAAATATTTAATGTTCAAATATTATTAAAAAAAGTATTTATACATTTTTTCATAAATTGACAGTCTTTGCGACTACTATTTTGATTAAAAATAGCGTCCAAGATAGAAGACTATGTCGCAACGCCTTTATATATAAGATCCTTGCTCACTAGCATCTATTGTTTGACAAGTCGTAAGTAAATTATTCTTTTAAAGCCACTTATGCACTATGTTATCTATTTTACAAAACTATGACGATATTTTATATTAAAAAATATAGTCCCTTTAATTGCAAATCCTAATTAATAATAGTTCAAATTTTTTTTAACAGTTTTTAAGAAAATTATACCAAATGATTTTTACAGCTCCATTTATGCCATTTAAGCCATTTATACAGTGTGTTAACTATTTTACGAAAACTTGGACGTCATTACATTTTTTCTAAATGGAAAAAATGATATTTTTAATTAAAAAAACTAACAATTTTTAAATTTCATCTTATTTGTTTTTGTAAAAGTTTGTTTTTCTGCCTACGAAAAATGGCCTAAATTCAACTATTTGCCTTTTTGCAAGCGAATTATTTCCAGAATTATTTCGTGGTATAAATTGATCAGTTAGTCCAGGAGAGAGCTGATTTCATTACTATTGGATTAACAATAGTAAAAAATAAACAAATGCACTAAAAACAAAGCAATTAAGCTAACTAGTCCTGAAAGGAACTAATTTATTTTACTTAAAATTAAAAAACGGCAATAAAACATAAATTACATTGATATTTTAAATTTTTAAAGTTATGTGTCAAATCATAGAAAAGTCAATATTAGACATTTTGTCTGTTAACTTTTAAGTGTATATATAGTAACAATAATTATTATTACAAACACAAAGAACTATATACCAAATAATTCGTTAGGTTCTCGTAAATTTCTTTTAACAAATACATCATCAATAAAGAAAACTTACCCAGAGCTAACTGAAAAGCTACTGCTATAATAATTAAAATACCCAACATTTTAGATAAAAAAATAATAATGACTGAGACATCTATAAATTACTTTAGCCATATTATGTCTTATCAGTGAAGAGGTTCTTTAAAATGTCTATCGATATTTTTAAGATCAATAACAGTTATCTTAATCGTAAGTACTTAACGATAATTTTAGTGATTTTTAGTGACTTGTAAAAAACAATACGCAATATATTGTCTTCACCAGATACTTATCTGTATTATTATTTAATTAATAAATCCAGTAAATATTATGAAATAATACAGGGTGTCTGTAAAAGGTCTTTACAAAAACATACTACATATTCCTTAGATCAAAATAAGTCGATTTAAGTAAAATTACCTTAGTACAAAGTTGCTTCGTTTGGGCTCCAGAGGGCCTTGAAGTTACAATTTTTAAATCGTTTTTCCATATAAATTTAAAACGGCATACGCGATTTTGCTGAAATTTGGTATATTGGTAGAGTTTTATGTGGCAAAAAAAATTGTATTAAAATTTTGTCCGATAATAATACATAGGCGTAGAACTTGATTTTTTAAATAATTGCACCTTTAAAAATTCTACGCCAATGGAAGAAAAGGAGTATGAAATTTAGATTGCGCAACTCATTTACTTTAAAAAAGGTACTCTTGATAAGACTCGATCACTCTCATGGTTTTGACGAAATTTGCATTTTAGTAATTTTAGAACATAAACAATAATTATTAAAATACAAACTTTGTCAAAACCATGAGAGTAAATCGAGTGTTATCAAGGGTACTTTTTTGTAGTAAATGAGTACCCAATACAAATTTCATACTCAAACCCCTTTTCTGCCATTGGCGTAGAATTTTTAAAGGTGCAATTATTTAAAAAATCAAGTTCTACGCCTATGTATTATAATCGGACAAAATTTTATACGATGAAAAACATAAAAATGTACTTTTTTCATATCTTCAACACCCCTAATCTAGACTTTTAACAAAAATACTCGATTCTTGCCATGTACGATTTTTTGAGGAATATTAATTATTTGCCTGCAATACGTATACAAAAATATTTATTGTTGGTTTCCATAGTTTCATCTAAATAAAAATATTGTCAAGTTTTAACACCTAATCTCTTGTTAACGATTGAAAGTGTTCTATCTGACTCAATAATTAAAAAAACAAAAGCGTGGTTTATTAATATGGCTGTACAATATACCAATGCAGAATATACCGATATGGTACTGACATTAGGATTTTGTGAAGTAAATGCTCGAGACAGTGTCAGGGTATACTCTGAAAGGTTTCCAAATCGTCGTGTACTTAGCCACCCAACTTTTGCTGCTGTTGAGAGATGTCTTCGGGAGACCGGTTCCTTTGCTCCCAACACTGTTGATAATGGAAGAGAACGTTTAAGGATTCCTGAAGTTGAAGAAGATATTTTAGAACGTGTTGAAGAAGATCAAGAATTAAGCACCAGACGAATTGGAAGGGAACTAGGAGTAAGTAAAGATGTCGTTCATAAAGGTTTAGAGAACAGTTGCTATATCCATACCATAAGAAGCCAGTACAAGAATTATTAGTCCATGATCCTCAAATTCGTTTGGGTTTTTGTCGATTTGTTAATATGCAAAGAGAAAGAGATCCAAACTTTGTCAAGAAGGTTCTCTTTGCCGATGAAGCGGGTTTTACAAGAAGAGGTATAACTAATACCCATAATGAACATGTTTATGCCGTTGAAAATCCGCATGCAATAAAGATACCTAAACCATTTTCAGCACGAATTCAAAATTAATGTGTGGGCTGGAATAATTGGTAATTTCATTGTTGGTCCTGTCATACTTCCACGAAGATTAACTGGAGAAAATTATTTGGAGTTTCTACAAAATACGTTGCCAGAATTGTTAGAAGATTTACCTCTCCAACTTCGAAGAGATATGTGGTTTATGCAAGATGGAGCTCCACCACATTTTTCTTTAAACGTTAGAAACCACTTGAAGAAACAATATCCACACAAATGGATAGGCAGAGGTAATAACGCACCTGTAAACTGGCCACCACCTTCCCCAGACCTAACACCGATGGATTACTTTTTATGGGGACATCTGAAATCCACAGTTTACAGGGAACCTGTAGAAAATGAGGAACAACTCTGGCAACGTATTCAAGATGCAATAAACAATCTTAGAGGTGATGAAGAAGTTATGGAGAGGATACATTTTAATTTTCTTCGACGTATAAATTTTTGTATGCGTGAAAATTTTAAACAATTTTTGTAAAATCTCTATTTTGATTATGTTGTAAATAAATATTTTTGTGAAACCTATACACTCTAAATTATTAAAACAGAAATTTAGCGAAAACCATGAGAGTAATTGAGTCTTATCAAGAGTACCTTTTTTAAAGTAAATGAGTTGCGCAATCTAAATTTCATACTCAAACTCCTTTTCTTTCATTGGCGTAGAATTTTTAAAGGTGCAATTTAAAAATCAAATGCTACGCCTATGTATTATTATCGGAAAAAATTTTAATACCATTTTTTTGCCATATAAAACTTTACCCATATACCAAATTTCAGCAAAATCGCATATGCCGTTTTAAATTTATATGGGAAAAACGATTTAAAAATTGTAACTTCAATTATATATTATATATTATATATTATATATTATATGTTATATATTATATATTATATATTATATATTATATATTATATATTATATATTATATATTATATATTATATATTATATATTATATATTATATATTATATATTATATATTATATATTATATATTATATATTATATATTATATATTATATATTATATATTATATATTATATATTATATATTATATATTATATATTATATATTATATATTATATATTATATATTATATATTATATATTATATATTATATAATATATATTATATATTATATATTATATATTATATATTATATATTATATATTATATATTATATATTATATATTATATATTATATATTATATATTATATATTATATATTATATATTATATATTATATATTATATATTATATATTATATATTATATATTATATATTATATATTATATATTATATATTATATATTATATATTATATATTATATATTATATATTATATATTATATATTATATATTATATATTATATATTATATATATATATATATATTATATATTATATATTATATATTATATATTATATATTATATATTATATATTATATATTATATATTATATATTATATATTATATATTATATATTATATATTATATATTATATATTATATATTATATATTATATATTATATATTATATATTATATATTATATATTATATATTATATATTATATATTATATAATATATATTATATATTATATATTATATATTATGTATTATATATTATATATTATATATTATATATTATATATTATATATTATAATACATGAGCTTATATACTCATATCATGCGTAATACATTCTTCTAATAATATGACGAATCTATCCGTGATGCATAGCCATAGGCTTGCCGCACGGTCATCCTGACATGTTGTTTGTCCTCAACAACCATACTGCAGAACTTCGATCTGGAATTACATAAAATAATAAAAATTTTGTTGCCATTAGAGTAGACGTACTCAGTGCATTCAGGTTGGCAATCAAGTGTACCTGGTTGCCACCAATCAACTCATTATTGCCATCCAATGCCATCAGTAGTTTATTTGGTGCCACCGAGGTTCTTTATTGTCAACATAGTGCTGTCAAAGGACTCATTATTGCCATCGAAGGGCTCATTAGTGCCATCAATGGGCTCATTGGTGCCATCAAAGGGCTCAATAGTGCCATCAAAGGGCTGAATAGTGCAATAAAAGAGCTCATTATTGCCATCAAAGGGCTCAATAGTGCCATCAAAGGGCTTAATAGTGCCATCAAATGGCTCATTATTGCTATCAAAGGGCTCAATAGTGCCATCAATGGGCTCATTATCTAACCTTAAGATTTCTAAAATGTAAATGATTTTATGTGTTCCAATCCCACAACTCCTTCATATGGACGTTTGGATCTTCCAGTATGTAAGTCTTCTTTAACCCTATATCTATAATTTGGAAGAACCTCTATTATTTTAAATGGACCCCTAAACTTAGGCAATGACTTTTTACTTTCTTCCGTTGCAGCGTTGCTAATGACTTTTATATGTACAAAATCTCCTACTTTATACATTTTCGGTGGGCTTCTTTTCTTATTACATGAGATATCCTGTTTGATCCTATTTTGTTCTAGTCGCTTTGCTGCCCTTTTCCTGATGGTTGTTACTGTAATGTATTCAACCAAAAGGGCCTTGTATATCAACCCAAACATTACCCCCTCTTCCGCTACCCGTTTGAATTAGCAGGTGTACGCCAACGACCCAGTGACCCAGTTTCGATTTACCACACATATCGAGAAGGTGACGTATTACTATTGTAATTGAGGTTATGTTGTGTAGTTTGACTTTCGGCATTTACAATAAATACAGTAATTATTGGAGTTAAACGAAGTTTTATTTCGATGCCTAGTAGATAGGGACGAACATCACAGTTACGTCTACATTATCTTCGCTCTCAGAGTCGTGGATGTCATTATTCATCTTTAGAGGAAATCCAAATAACAGTTCGGCCGGGGTGTAGTTTGTAATGCGGTGCCTTGTACTGTTAATGCCTTGTTGAATAGTTATTACTTTAAAATCCCAGTTATTACTGTTTGTATCTGCTCCTGTAGTAGCCAATGCATCAAGTTTTGTCTTGTTAGTTTTTTCAACTTGACCATTACCCCTGGGCAATCTAACTGCTACCGTAAATAATTTAATACCTTTTTGTTCCAAGAAGTCTTTAAAGTCGTTTGAAACAAATGCTGTCCCTGCATCAGCTATTATTCTTTTAGGGTTTCCAAAAATCGCAAATATTTCAACTAATACTTCAAGTACACATTTTGTAGTTGTATTTGGGACAGCTTTTAAATAAGTAAATTTTAAAAACCCATCTACAATTACTAATAAATATTTGTTTCCATTTAGAGTTTATACAAAGGGCCCTAAATAATCAAGGTGAATAGTATGGTGTGGCCTTGCATACTTGGGTATGGAATGTAGATATCC